TATTGTATTAAATTAACGTCAGATTCAAATTATTCAAATTCAAGGGCTACTCCCTCGGATTTTTGTATATTGTAGATGTGATGTGAATTGTGTGTTTTCCACCTCTCTTGTTCTAGATTTCCCTGTATACCTATTACCCTCTGTGAACAGTGATTCGGAATGTTCTTCGACTCGGTTCTTTTGTCCTATGAGTTCTAAGGGAACATGGCATTTGTTTGACTTTAAATGCATTCTAGACACTAGAATATTCACACTTTAAACGTAAGGTTTATCATAAACAATGCGACTATTTTCTAGTACCTAATCCCTAAAATTTGTCTTTTTTCAAGCATCAATTTGTACCTACTTCGAATCTAAGTGTAGGTAGGTAGGTAGCTACTGAACTTGCAGCAGTGACAATACCCGAAAAATGGCTTAGGGCCCACGATAACAGCGATGTCACCGCTATCAGTGACATAAATTCAGTTAGGACTCTTAGGAGTAGGTAGAGGTACTCAAGTGTTTCGTATTCTGTTTTGAACGATTGTGAATGAAAAGGTTAGGTATCTAAATTTTAACTTGACAAAAAAAGTATTACCATTGAATTTAATTCAATGGTATTACCTATAAAACATAACGAAATTGCACCTAAAACTACCCACTAAAACATTAGCTTGTTCATGGATGTGTGAGAATCCAAACTGCTGTAGGTATCAAGAAATCTCCTAATATAACCCTTTTGTTGGTAATAGCGCAGTTATTTTACCTCAGTGACTGTGGCAATATCCTTTGCAAGAGCAATGTAAATATTTCATTACCTACCTACCTTATTGGCGTTAAACGTTTTCGAGTTCTCCAGCGTAACATTTTATGTGAAAATTAAGTCTAAAACATTGATTAGCTAAATGCCCCTTAAAAACTGGATCATTATATCATTCTCAAGGGACGCAAGAAAATTGCCGTGAAAGCACGTTTTCCGCATCGTTTCTCGCAACTACCTGAGTAGGTATGCGTTCGGTATTTCCCGAGTAGGTACTCCATTTTCTCTTGCCTATATATGTGTGAGTTCATTATTTGACTTTCATACCTTACGCAAATNCAACATGAACTCAGACATTGAAGAGTATATAACCAATTGTAAGACTTGTCAAAAGTTCTCCAAAAACAATGTTAAAGAACCAATGTTGCTAAAAAGTCAACCAGATCTTCCGTTCCAGATAGTAGCTTGTGACATTTTGAATTATGGCAACAAGGATTATTTAGTATTGATAGACACATTTTCTAAATGGATAGAACTTGTACGACTATCATCAAAAACTGCCGATTCAATAATTAAAGTACTGAAAAGCATATTTTCTACGCATGGTATACCTTCCAAGTTGTATGCTGATAATATGCCTTTCAACTCGAGACAGTTCAGACAATTTAGTCAAGACTGGTCATTTGAATTGACATTCTCCAGCCCATACTATCATCAAAGTAATGGGCTCGCAGAAAGAGGTGTGGGCATTTGTAGGGCAATGTTAAACAAATGTGACGATATCCAGGGTGATATATTTAATATAATGCTGGAATATCGTAACACTCCAGTCTTAGGGACACCATACTCACCAGCGCAATTACTGTTTAGTAGATTATGTAGGACTAAATTGCCAATTACCAATGAGTCATTGGCTCCCAAAGTAGTTTCTCAATTTCGTGACGAATTGCTTAAGAACTCTCTTACGAAGAAAGCTTACTATGACCGAACCGCTAGGACTCAAACTCACAATTTCGTGCCAGGTCAAAAGGTGTTGTATAAAGAGAATGATAAAAGTAAGACGTGGTGTCGTGGAGAAATTGTGAACTTAGGTGACAATCCTAGATCGTTTAAAATTAAAGACCAAAATGGTCGAATTAAACTTCGAAATACATGGTTCCTCAAACCATTACATTCTAGTAATAATTTGAGAACTCAGCAACAGATTATACCAATTACATTTTCTGATAAACCAAAGTTCTGGTCTAACACATCGAAGTTGATAGAGATAGGAGAAGGTGAACAATTAATTGCAGAAAGTAGGGATGAGGTAAATGAGCAGAGCACAATAAGACCAATTAGACAAGTAAGACCACCGATGTACTTACGCAATTATGTTTGTAAATGACTGTAAACAATTGTTTGTAATATTTTATTTATGTAATCTGTAATTGTTATGTAATTATTATGATAAGGGAGATGTGATAGATTAAGTAAGTGACAAGGGGAGAACCGGCAACAAGGCAGAGAGAGTCGGACGGAGACGCAAGTACATGCGTTCAGTTAATAAAGTTATGTTAAACAAACATGTCGTTTCCTTTTGTTTTAACATATAACACAGAGATAATAAATAATCGATCAGCGCTTTAAGATACCTTGGTAGGTGTTTTAATCGATACATCGAATTTTTTAATCATTTAATGACCGAATTAATTCCAAATAACAAAATATCGACTCAAACCGTTAATCTTTTGTTTTTGCGACATTGTCAACCAACACATGCGAAATTATGGCTTACTAGTAGGCTTGGGACACTTCGCGACCCGAAGGACCAACATTCAAATGAGTATAACTTTTGTTTGAAAAGTTATTTTAAAAAAACTGTTCGACAGTTTTGTTCCTTAACTCGTTTAGTATGTACACAACAAATTTCGTGGAATTATCTCTATTTTCGTTGTCCCGCCAAGAATTGCAGTGGAACTTTTTTTTTCGAATTTTCAAAAACTAATTTCAGATTCGTGATTTTCATGTTAAAAAAACCCCAGATACCAAATTTCGTCGAAATCAGAATTTTTTTTTGCACCCTAGTTTAGGGGTGCGCCCTTTAGGGGTAGGAATTTTGAAAAAAAAATTGCAAAATCGGAAAGAGCATACCCAAAAACCTATTCAAAGACATGCCACCCGACTTTGTAACTCTTATGGTTGCTGAGAAAAAAATTAAAGAAGAAATGCAGATTTCAACACTCTTTGGGGGGTGGCTCCCAAACGAAACACGTTGGACCCTCGGTTTATTTGGAAAAAGTGCTTGTTTTGATGCCCTCTACAACCCGATTTTTTTTTTTTTCGAACGGTCGTGTAACACCCTGTATATTGTATGTTTTTCTCGGAAAAATGCATAGTTTTGCCATTATTTGACTGTGAAACTCTCTAAGTTAGCGTTTGAAGAACAAGAGTAACCTTTAACAAGCCTCAACTCAGTTCGTTATGGTCATATTACAGCAATTATAATAAAACCATTTTCTTTGTTTTTTTAAAAGCTATAGGTACAACTTTGTTTTCCAGTTTTTTTAATAAAATGGATAGGTACTTTTCGAGTTTTTCGCGAATAACCAATTAAAAACATTGATTCTTTTCTATGAAAAACTCGTAGGTACCTTCGGTCGCGAATAACTGGAGAAGTATCAACTTTCCAAAAAAATGTATATAGAACACTTTTTGTTTAGAATTAATTTTTCTATCTATTCCTGTGTTAAAATTACAATAAAAAATTTCCACACCCGAAATTGGGTAACAAACACCCCCAGGATAAAAGCGTCCTTTGGCATGATATAGATTTTGATCCATTGCCAGGGCAAAACCTTCCTTTTCTGTACTACTTCACATGTAATTATACTGAATATTTGTTGTGTGTCAAGCTTTTTGTAATAGGTAAGTCGGTGCAAATATGTCACCTTTCGAAGCCTACATGGTAGGTACATATTTTGTACATATTGTCGTTAAAATTTTATCTTATGCATTCACATCATTACAAACAATTAATTTTGCTACATAATTATAATTTACTATTAATTTGGCGGCTGGATTTTTCTTAGTACCTACCTAAGGTAAGCCTATTTCTGTTTTTACTCGGTGAACTACCATTATTTCAATGTTCAATGTAATTTATTTGGACTACATTTTCGAGCTTTCACAATGTTATTAATAACGGTCATATTAAACAAACTTTACACAATTTCAGCGTTCTATTTTACGTTCCTTCGCTACTGTACTTCAGGTCATAGCGTTGTTTACAACTAACTTAACAGGGCCCTGATCACGTGCCACTTTTCGATTTCAAATTTAAGCGAGATCTGTTTAGTTTCGGGAGGAATAGTGCCGGGGGTGATTTTATTTCCGTGTTCTTGTATTGAGAATTTAGCGGGGAACCTGGAGGTAAGTACACTACACATCATCCAAAACTTTAAACACTTGGAATGACTACCAGAGCTCTAAACACAACCACAGTGTAGGTCAGAAATCAATGGTTCCAAAAATGTCCTTGGCACCCCATCTAAAAGACAGAAGTTTTCTTTAAACGGTGCCGGGGGTGATTTTATGTCCGCGTTACATGTATTGAGAATTTAGCGGGGAACCTGGAGGTAAGTACACTACACATCATCCAAAACTTTAAACACTTGGAATGACTACCAGAGCTCTAAACACAACCACAGTGTAGGTCAGAAATCAATGGTTCCAAAAATGTCCTTGGCACCCCATCTAAAAGACAGAAGTTTTCTTTAAACGGTGCCGGGGGTGATTTTATGTCCGCGTTACATGTATTGAGAATTTAGCGGGGAACCTGGAGGTAAGTACACTACACATCATCCAAAACTTTAAACACTTGGAATGACTACCAGAGCTCTAAACACAACCACAGTGTAGGTCAGAAATCAATGGTCCCAAAAATGTCCTTGGCACCCCATCTAAAAGACAGAAGTTTCCTTTAATCCACTATTCTATTCTTACACTATGCTATTATTAACAAAGTTTATAAGCATTCCAGGGCTACCTTCTACAAAAAATTCTCTAAAATGTTGTGTAATATCAAAAACCTATTAGAGAAACTTTCAAGTCAGAAATAACTGCCCGTTATTGGGCAAATGGTTGTTTTAGAACTCTACCATGAGGGGATTGACGCCATTTACGTAATTGGTTTGTAAATATTATGGGTTGAATTTTGTTTAAAAATCAGGTTTTTGGCGGTTTAAAATTTGATACAGTAGAGGAAAGAAGGGAAAAGCACTTGTTTATTATCTCACTTTATTTCTCTAATGCCGTAGTAATAAATAAAAGCTATATTCGTTGTTGTATATTATTGGAGTATAAATAACACTAATAAAATTATACTGATGGGCGTTTCTAACATTTTACAATTACTTACTTTACGGTAACTAACTTTGGAAGTGCAAGCGCAGACGACTCTACACTAAATGATAGCCTACACAATAAAAACAAATACAACCAACATCATTTAAATCACAACCAATAAGTTTTCTGACCTATCAACAGATTTCTAGTTAAACTCCTACATCTACCTTACTTACTTTTAGGAATGTAGTTTTTATAATTGACAATTGTTGCATTTTTTAACTTGTGTTCTTATGTATTACTATACATAGTTTACAATCAATATAAAAAACTGCAGTTTAAATGCATAACAATACAAAAACAAACAATAAATACTATAAAGAGCATACACGAAATAAGATCACAATACAATTGGTACCTATTAATTAAAATTTCTAGGATAACAGTAATGCGTGTATCACATGTCGTCTAGAAGCCTATTTATGGTTTTTAAAGCTTTAGTTGTCATTTTTTGAAAAAAAAATACATTACGTTAACAATAAGGAATTTTTAGAATCTTTACAATTCCCTATAAAGTGATGATGCTTATGTGTACGAAAAGTGGAAGTACTAGCATTTTCTATCAATTACATTGGGTAGATTAGCTATAGTTACAACCTGTCATGGTTCAGCAATAATCAGCATACCATCAAATCTGTGAAGCTACTCTGTTGAAACAGTAATCATGTGCAAGAAAACATTTGCTTTATTCATCTATTAAACAACCACCTCGTCTATGTTACTGCTACAGCTAGTAGCACTAACTTCTTTCCAATACTGATTACCAAATACACATTGCATGTAACTAACGTGTGCAAAAAATAACATGAGATTTGTGGTTTGTAGGTCTTCATCACACTATCACTGACAATAATTTTAAAATGCACTCCTTTTCTTCCTAAAAAGCACAAATCTATGTGATTTACCCTGTACATTTATTAAAATAATTAGTATTGATTTAACACTTAAGTACAATGGGAAGCACAACTACTTACATTTACCCTAAAAAAAATAAATTCACATTCCATAATATAAATGAGCAACCGTCGTTTACCTTCATCTTGTAACTGTAATGTTGTATTAAGAAAATTGTAATGCTACAAGGTACGAAGTATTTTAAAATTACATGAAACCTAAACATTTACTTATAATGCTATAAATTGCACAATATCGAAAGTTTAAAACGATTAAGCGAGAGTTAATTAATGTCCGGGCACGACGTCATGGCTCAGGATCGCAGCAGTTACGAGATTTCGGAACAGACTAATACCTTCAAGTGCCTTCACAAAAGCGATTTGTCCTTGACATTTCTTAAAATATCGGACGGAATTTCCACACCTCAAGAAGAATACCAAAATAACTAAATTAATAATATGTCATAAAAACAAACCCTCCAATCATTCTATAGATAGAATTAATAATTTTTGTTAAACTGAAAGCTCAACAGTAAGCTTGGGACATTGTCATAGATCAATTCTGATTAATTAATGCCAGTTTTTCTTAGGCACCATGGACCCTTTTAAAAAAACCGTTTGCAGTCCATGGAGTACAAAGTTTAGAAACAGATAATTCGAGATCCATTGAAAAATATTTTTTGTGAGAGCAAAATTGCTAGTAATTCTGTCAGCCTTCAAAGAGACAAGTGGTTTTTAACCATAGGATGAATGCTTTTGAGTCATAAGCTAAAAACAAAACTGTTTTAACTGCTTTGGATCATGGTTCTGGTGGCAAAGTATTGCAACTTGCAGCAACTAGCCACGAATACCATAGAAGAAACACCATCAGTGCAAACCAATTGGATGTAGATTGAATCCTAATCCTGGTGTTAAAAAACGTGATTGGTTACTACCTTTGACAATATCCTATCGGATATAGACACACCCAAAATGTGGCCAATCAAATGCCTTAAGACTGGGATAAAAAAGTATCCGGTATTTTTTATGCCTATGAGTCTACTCCCACTTTTAAATGTAAATTTAAGCTTGCAAGTAGAACTGCAGCCAGATACATAGAAAATTTGCATAGCTTGGAAGGCATGTACTATAAAAAAGAAATTGTAAAATTTACAGATTTCACCCACCAGCTTGGAGCGGAGCATATGCGCAGGTACGAAAAACCTTCAATAAAAATGTCATGCGTTCGCCACACGCTAAGGGAGGTTGATTTTCCTGTCCCTTATGGATCGCAGCACTTTAAATGCATAGAAAAATTCGCCTTTTAGAAATATCAGCTCGACCATCGAAGGCAAAGTGAGGGGGAAAAAAACAATACAAAGGTAAACCACTAGTAGGTGTCTGATATGCCAGCACTGTCCTAAGTTGGAGTTAAAAAGTACAGTTGGAGCCATCATAGCAATCAAATACCTACCAAAAAGTTTCAAAATGTACAATCAAAAAGTATGGCTTTTTGCAAATTGTGTGTTAATAATAAATAAGGCACTGAGGAACTTATTGCCCGTTCCTACACAGTGCGATCCACTACCTATGACAAAATACTAAAAGTAAATTTGGTACAATTATGTATAGGTATCTAAAACTTTGGTAAAGAATTGAAAATCGTGATAAATAAGTAAAACAGTTAAAGCTATATGAAAGGCAATGATATGCGTTTCCTAATCCTAGATAAAACTTTTAAAATCACATCAAAATAAATAAGTAGATAATTTAAAAATTCATAAAGCAATTAACCTAGTATTAGAGTGTCGCCACCTTTCCTGCATCTGCCTATGTTCCTCAAGTTCACGTTCCGAAACCTGCCTAACGCCGCTAGTACCGAACTTGCGCGGATCGAGATTGGAACCTAAATTTTGAACGCCCTTCGCGAATTTCGAGAACGGATTTAGAACTAGATCTTTGGTCGCGATAGCCACGGGACTAGTGAGATTTGCAAGCTTATTTTTTAGGGCGGATTCGCTCTGCGACTGCGCGATATTTAGCGCGATGTTCTTTTCGGAATTGGACCTCTTGTCCGAGAGACGTTCGCCCGCGATAAAAATTAAATTCGGCGCCAAGTCAAGCTCGAGCTTGCTTTCGCCAGATTTATCGATGTCGCTAGAGGACCGGCTCAGTTTGCGGTTGAGACGAAGTTTCGTTTGCTGGTTCTGTTTCGAGTCGTCTTCGTTTACTTGTATTTCGGGCGCGGAATTTTTTATTGAAACCGAATCGACAATACTAGACAATCGAACGTTATCAACATTAGATTGCTCTCCGATATGTGACTGAGGATCAAGAAGAACTGTTTCCGACGTATCCGCAGAACCCATCACTATACCCACACTAGGTAAGAACGCATCAACTTTATTATCAAATAACGTTGAATCTTCTGTCAGTTCAATTCCTTGTTCAATAAATGAATTGTTACCTATACTATTTACACTATTGTCCGTTGAGTATTGCAGAGAGGCGGATTCGACAGATGTATTTGGCTGAAAGATTGAATTCTCATACTCCTCTTCAGAATCAGTTGAAGATTCGCCATTAACGCCTTTGCCAACCAAAAATTTGGCTGTGCGTTTTTTCTTTGGTATAAATGGAGAACTTAATTTATTTAGTTTGGAAAATTGCTGAGTTACGTTAGAAAGAGCCTTGGAACCTAAAATACGGAATACACTTATACACAATTGTAAACTTTGTTATGGGAAAAACTGCTGATCAAGGATATGCAATCGACTACCACTTACCTTAATTTTGACACTCACGCTTCAAACATGTCCACGCATTAGATGCCTGTTAGGGGTCAATAGTACCAGTCTCATCCACATACAACACGCAACGCTGGAGCTCTACGATACGCACAACGCTCAAAAACCTTGTCATCTAACAAGTCATCTTCGATACAGAACTTTCGTACTATAGGAAACGAGTCCTACACCTTTGTTATTGTTATATTCATCGATACCACACTAAGTTACCTGGTAAGCTCAGTCATACCTGATGCACAAAGACAACTGTATATAGAAGCGACAATCCTGCCCTTCAACGTAAAATTCATAAGTACCATCTATCAGAAAAACAATTGAAAAGTGAAGGGTACTAACGATACCCAAGAGCTCCCCAAGGCCCTTCCAGAAGAGGGGACTGCAATAACAGATTAGGGGACCAGGTTCCATTCAAGGGACCACATCGGAAGGTATCACAGTTGGTCCTGTTGCGCAAACCAGCAGGCATGCACAGGTTCAGAGCTCAACTCAACCCCTCTAGACCCCATGGCCTGATTGCTTCCCAATCGAACAAGAAACTTCAGCAGTCAACCTTGAGCATATGCTCTAAATTGGGCCGACCTATAGGCAGGCAATAACAGTTAGTTACCTTGGGCTTCTATGAACAGTTTATATAATAATGACACCTAATCAACAAGAAAAAACAAGACACGTGGCGTAGGGCACAGAATAGAAGTAGCTGATGAACCATATGGCAGCATAATGAGATACAGCACAGGAATGCCGCAAAGAACATGCGTTTGCTCATAGGAATACTCACTAACTAAACATGGACACGCATTTCCTGAGGGTTAGGTGCACGTAAGCTCTTTGTGCACCCTCCTCCCCATATCCAAAACCTACAATTTTTACTTTGTTGTACTCTGAATTCAAGATAGACTTATTGCCTATCATTAACCAACACTTTTTCCCATAACACCTTTAACCAACCTGCACTCTTTAGCGCAATCAGCTGTGACTCCGATACATTTCTGGTTAGATTAGGCAGACCAACTACGTCCAAGTAAATATTACTGCTAGCGTTTCCAATATTAACAACCCTCGATTTTCTTTTATCGAGCTTGTGCCCCTGTTTGAAAGGTATTGGTTGTAAGCCCGCTATATCTACACTAATCTGAAACGCTTCGCATATCGACTTGAGAGATTCTAGTAAGATATGTCTTACACAGTGTCCAATAAAAACATTCCCCTAACTTACCTATGCCCTCCTCCTCACTCTTGATAGCGATCGCCATGTTGTTGAAAAAGCGCAGGTTAGTCGAACGAAACATGTGGTAATACCCATCAAGTTCGTTGACTTTATAATTAACCCTAATGCAGTGGTGCGGCCTTGATGTCTTAAACAGTGACACAGTATCTGGTATGCCACATTCGAGTAAAGTAATATCTGACAGCAACACTCTTTGGTATTTGGTAATTTTATCGAGTTCGTCGTCGTAATCCGCAACGAAGTAAGACTCCCTGGTTAAGATTAAAATTGAATCCATGTCGCTTTCATTTGGATCACCTGTATAAGGATCGGCATTAATAAGACCCCAAGCACCTACTACAAACTCGGGATTGTTGATCAACATTTTTTTGCAATCTTCAATCAGAAGCTTAACATGTTCAGCGGTCGCTGCGCTGTCTTCCTCTTCTTGCTGAGCCTTGTTGTCTGAAAATATGTCTTCGGATACGCAGTTTCCTGCAGTCATAAATTAATTGTAGATGCGGTTTTCTTCTGCAAGTCTTACCTAACATTAAATCAACAGTACCCTGGCGAGTTGAATCCTTGAAACGACTTAGGTAGTATCTAAAAGAAAATGTTGGTTGTGAATTCGCCAGACCCACGTACTATAAATAACCAACAGAACGCATTTATTAAGGCTTTTATACAATGTACAGCTGTTAGCAGTTCAGGAAAGCAAAGAAACTAACCTAGACATGTAATACAAAGCATTCCCAAGTTCAAATTCGGGTCCAAGAGCTACATGTGGTATGTAGGTTGGAGGGGCGTCAGGCATATATTCTCTTGCTATGTTACGAATAACACGTACATATAACCAAAAGTCGTCAAGTTCAGCTTGAGCGACTTCACAACCTAACATTATATCTAGACAACACTGCCGTATGGAGTCCTTAAAGTGTTGTTTGTAGTATCTACGAGATAGGATAGTGAGAATTGCAACATGGTTAACTGGCCAGGCAGAAGCATAAAAATATTAATTCCTTGTGAAATGCATACCAAGCAATTTTCGTTTTGCACTGGTCAAGTGGGTACATCTTATTTCAAACAACGAGATTATTATACTCTCATATGTCGCATTTCATCTGGGGGATTATTTACAAATAAGCACATAGTTGGTTAATTTTACTTGAATTTGTACCTCAGTGTTATTTCTCCTCCGCCCCCGGTTAGCTATGCCGCTATCGCACACCTTTCACGATCAGATTAATTGGTTTCTTTAAAAAAAAACAAAGTACTTTGAAAAATTTTAATTATCGACCGCCTGCGTCTAACAAGCTTTGTAAACTATTTTTCTTGCAGGAATTTTTTGGAATACATTTTTGTCGTTATCGATCAATTAATAGTGTGTTTATTTGAATCCTTTGTGCGACCCGGACAGAGTTGGACTAGGTCACTGGGTCAACTGGGTCACTAAATTAAACTGGGTCACTGGGTCGCTGGGTCACGTCATACTCTTTTCAGTTAGACCCCGTGACCCAGTTTGACCCAGTGACCCAACTTGACCCAGTGACCCAGTTTGACCCAGCTACCCAATTCGACCCAGTCACCTAGTTTGATCGAATAACGCAGTTAAGTCAGTGCCCTCGGTTCAAGTGTACAGATTATGAAATAAATGAAATGCTGGTTTGTTGAAAATAATACTCGATTGCTTGACAACTGCCATTTCTGTGATGTTTGCTTTAATACTGCCGTAAAAAACTTTCCATGTCCCGAATTGTATTAGAATAATGTTATTTTTTTGCTTCAGGGCTTACCAGTTTGCTTACAGGTGTTCATTCACATTTAATTTTTTTCTACTAGTTAGCTTAATCCAAATAAATCTTTTCTCTAAATACTTTCATTGACTACTTGACTATAAACTATAAACAAATGCATTTGATTTTGTTCTCTTGAATGAAATTGGGCTACATGCTTGTTGCCGAATATTATTGAGGAAGTTTTTTTTTAAATTAAAAGTTACTTGAAATTGTTTTGGATGATACCTAACAATAATTTAATTACTGGGCCACCGGGTCAAGACGGTCACTGAGTAAAGCTGGGTCAAGATGGGTCACTGGGTCAAGCTGGGTCACCGGGTCAAGCTGGGTCACCGGGTCAAACTGGGTCACCGGGTCAAACTGGGTCACCGGGTCAAGCTGGGTCACTGGGTCACCGGGTCAAGCTGGGTCACCGGGTCAACTGGGTCACTGGGTCAGTAAACTAACTGGGTCACCGGGTCACTGGGTCACTCTATGCTTGACCCAGTCCAACTCTGGACCCGGATAGTTTTCATGTGATATTTTTCTATTTGTGCCCAGGGCGAGGCCCAGGGTTTATTTCAGGTGTTAATCAAAAGTTGTTTAATCAATCAAAGTTTTGTGTGCAAGAAAGAGATAAGAACAAATTACGCACACAATAAAAGACTAGGAAGAACCTTCTTTGGTAAAAAAAATCTGACACAACACACACAAATAAAGTTAAGTATATACGATTATGAGAATATTATAGCCCTCATAAACCTTTGGTCCTCTTGTAATATATAAACATTGTAATAAATTATATGTTCTTTTAAGAACTACCAAACTGTGGTTGGTGATGGCAAGATTTTAAGGAAAATATAAGTGTAATAACATAAAAAGATCAGATTGCATCAGAAGATTGTTTATACTCCTCTGATCATAGCACATATAAAGGGATGTATGTAACGAGGGATCGCTTTGCAGTTTAACCGGCAGTCCATGGCCCAATCGTCGTGGCCGGAAGGCCAAAATTGTTGCTCAAATTTATTCCGCCCAACCAATATCTTCCGATCGAGCACTACTCACATTACAATTTTCACAATTCTCACCGATAAAAGGAATTGGACGTTTCTTTCCGTATAAAATAGTCCGGTGGACTGAGCGTCAGTACCCAGCTTTAGATTGCACTTAAAGGAACATTTTGCTTATGATAAAATTCAAAGAATACATAAGCGAAAAAAAGTTAATATCAATCCAGTGGGAAATTTGCTTTTTATTACTGTGCAGAACCAATAATCCGTTTTACGTTTTCGCAAATCTGACGCGGGTTTGAGTGCGTTCGAGGTAAATACGAGCGTAATTTCCAGTCCACGAGAGGCAACATTTGTACCACAAATAGTTTCGACTGTATCACCCCGAAAGTGATATAGTTTTTCATTTTTTTGCTTAGAAGAAGCTCCTTCAATTGACGAGCGTGTCTATTTTGTCATAGGCACCGCATCTGTTTACCTTTAGCCAATTAAATTCCATGTATACGTGAAATGGATTAAAATCAATAAACTTAAAATTTTGTTCAAAATAGTCACTATTTAACCTCCAAGGTAAAATGTTAAAGTGACAAAATGTTACACGAGAAATGGAATACATAAATTATGCTTCTGTCTGTAGGTAGACGTATTTACAATATTCTGAACCTGTCACATATATCAAAAATACCTCTACAACAATAAATTGAAAAGTCTTAGTTTTATTTTTCAAAAAAATTTGACATAGTGGAGCAGAGTTTGAAGAAGTAGCATTTTTAATAAACTGACAAACAGAACGATTCAGCAAAGTGGACGCCCACAAAATGATAGAAAAGCGTATCCAAGTATGAACCCTATGGAACTCCTACTAAAGCTTTTCGACTTATTCTTGTAATCTGGTCTTTGAAAAGGAAGATTACACTTACCTATTAGCAGAATTTACACCATCCTTCATAATTCCGGTAAACTTTCGTTCACCGGTTCTTGTATAATCGCCCTGTTAAAAAAATAAGCATTACATGTTCCATTGTAAATAAAATTACGAACCTTCAACGCGTTTGTTCCAGCATACTGTTTGCTTATGATGTCTCCATTATTAGCCCAAAGTAATTGAAATGTCTTTTTAATATTTTCCGGCATACCACCCTCGGGAGAAATTAATCCTAACTTTGTAAATTGTATTTCCATAACTGCTTTGCCCAAAGCGGTCTAAAAACGACAAACTAAAATCATACCCGGCCCAAAGCCAATTTTTACCTGAACCACATTTGTACGATCCAAGCAATCGATACAGTTCACACGAAATATGCCGACTTGCGAACAAATATGTCCCTGCTTGTCCCTCCAACAGTAATTCATGTCCCTAATAATGTCGGCAATGCTGTTAATTAAAATTGATACGTTTTCAAAATGCATCCCTCTACTACAAACAAAAGTATTTCAGTACTTGCAGTCCCAAGTCATTAATTACCAGTATTCGTGAAAGTCAAACGTGCAATAAGTAATGTGAGGGCTATTAAACTGAAAAATGTGATTGGAGTATGCATCCCAAATCACCTTCTCTTTACCCGTTTGTTCTATTAAATTAATAATACATATTGGCCCATATAATATCATTTCTTTATTGAAGTGTTTTACAAATACTGCTTGCGTCTCTACTTCACCTAAAATACCAATATTAAACAATTGACAGGTGCCCGGACAGTACCTTTGTCAATTCTAGGAGGTGGCCTGTACTTGTAACCCGGCTGTGACCAATACACGGGCACGGAGCCACGCACTTGCACAAACGACACTTGGTGGTGATGATACGTTATCATCTGTTCGGTTTCCACATAATTAGCGCATTCACCGTTATCATCGACGCCTCTTCTTTTATACCTACAAGTGTTCATTAACTATCAGAACTTGATTTAAAAAAGCAAAGATTATACTACACTAGATAGACAACGCCATTCGCTTACAATTTGTGCTCCTAGAAAAAATTCACCCTATCGGTAAAGAGACGTACCATTACTCACTACTTTCTATTACTAATTACAATGTCTTATGTAAGGATGTTTCTTTCTTGTATAAAACATGCATGGACGGACAATGCGCTAAAGATACTTGCCTTATCGCAAAAAACTTTTTACTTTTTTAATAAAATATTTTCAGCAGTGCTATTATTTTGCAGGTACAATAAAAACCAAAACTGATCCAAATAATTACAGAGCAATAGCAAAGCCTTTCTCAAGAACGGAGTGTCGAAGGAGGGTACCCACAATTGCTCCCGGGTAGGACATAAGCTCGGTGTCGGCAGCTGCGCCGCCTCACCTCGCCAAGATATCCCGCTCCCGCATAAGACGATAAGTTCGGTGTCGGTGGCTGCGCCCCCCACACCTCTCCCAAAGGTCCTGCTCACATATTTGTAAATAGCAGACGGTTAGGAAAACTCCTTAGCTTATTGTACAACTTTACTTTTCAAACAAATTCAAGAAGACAATCTTAAATCTACAGTTAACCATTGAATAAGCACCTTAAAGAAGTATAACCAAAGAGTACCCTCTTTGGTATAACTACATAGCAAAACCTGAAATTGGTGTAAGGTGTGTTGCACACACTGCAAAGTGATTAATTACCACAAATATTGAAGGATATTTGACCTCGGGCGGTAAATAATGACTATTTTAAACAGGGAAACCAGTTATATTTAGGGGCCCTTTGTTTTCCTTGTTTATCAGAGTTGAACAGTGTTGTCATATTTTTCTTTGTTAATTGGAGGTTATGTGAAAATAGTGCAGATACAAAAGTCGTTGATTTTTTTATTCTCTATAACTTTTATATTTGAACATTTTAGCCTAAAATTAGTAGTTTTGCCACAAATTGCAAAACACCACTTTCCACCCCTTTCAACTCCCTGGGATTTTATCCGCGGAAAAATTCAGCCGTTTTCATTATTTCTCCTAATTTCTAATCATTTCACCTGCATGAGAAACCCGGTTTCAACCGGTAACTAATTTTTTTGTCAAAAATTGTTATATAACCTGGACCATTGAATATAGTGCTTCAATGGTACCACCCTACCTAATTAGTAATTACCTATAATGAAAGTCCGCATTCTAACATCTATAAATTACCAAATCCTTATATGGAGCTAGGTAAAGTTTGATTGTTTATTATCTAAACATAATGGTCCTTAGAATTAATAGGTCTTGTTGTTTGTTATTAGATTAAACTACATTTTTTTACTTTATTTATTGTTCCTTATGATCTTACATTTCAGATTGATCGTCCCTTACATAATATTGTTATTGACATTGAATAAAAGCCGGTAACTAGCTTTAAATTTGTGGTTCACTTTCCCCCACAACAGAGGGACGACAGAATCCTGGGCAGATTTTCTTATTTCATCAGTTAACACGGGCGTTATACTTCTTTAAGGTGCTTATTCAATGAGTTAACCTAATATCCAACACCTCTGAATGGGGATACGCATTTTTGTGAAAACATAATTTTTTTTAACTTTCCATGTACAGAATCCAACCTGAGTTGCCCAGTTGCAAGCCGAGTATTCTTGCCACTATAGTCCGTCTCACCTTGACTTTACAGCAAAGGTCCACAACGATGCCAAATGTCATCAGAATATGATTTGAAGAAAATGGGCGTATTTATTTATAGATAAAATCAGCCTCACCGCGCTAAAACTCTTATAAGGATTGTAAAATGACTGTAAAGAGAAAAATTCTTTTTGACCTCTTACTACAGTGCGCCATGTTGCATCAAACATTCCAATTAGAAGTAGGCAACACACAATACACATATGGCATGTGTTGCGTATACTACAATACAATATTATATACAGTGCGTTTATCTTACATTGGAACATACCATTTTGCATGCAATGGGGTTTCCCTATGTTCCATTTTTAAAAAAACACATCAACCTATAGGATATGTTCAGTTCACAACTATAAGGTTGACGCATTATTTTTAAATGGAACATAGGGGAATACCATTGTCTGGAAAATCGTATGTTCCTGTTTAAGATAAACGCACGGTATACTCGCTGCAACATGGCCGCCGATCTCAACAACATAACATCTTTTATATGAACCTTTAGTAGAGGATTTTGGAATTAACTTGAATGTGTCAAATTAAAGTAATGTGGGTTGACTACGTATTAAAAAGTGTGCATTTCAATAATCTGACAATTTGAGCGTGACATGAAGGAGTGGGAAGGTCACAAACTTGTACAAAATATTGGATTTTTACAAAATGAGATACAAGAGAAAAAAAGAAATTCAATTGAAAGCATCGCCATCATAGCCATGTTGATTCAATTCGTAACAGAAGCCGAGATTTATCTACAGCAAAATAACTTTTGTATTTACGTTGGCTATCTAGTGTAGTGTTATCTTTAGAAATAATTTCACCTTGTGCCTGCTCGAAATCTGCTCCTCCTTGAAATAATACTCAAAGTGAAAATCTCAAATTTCGGACTAGTAGTTACTCCTTGATAATCATTGCCCATTTCCACCCGACAATCTTCAATTTGTACGTATCCTTGGATGATTGGCAAAATCCATGGATCATTTAAAGGATTCTGCAAGAATAATGTATTACTCGACGTTTAAACACTGTCCATCACCTACTTTTGACTCGATTAGGTCTTTGAGCATGTGCTTATTCCAAAAAAACCGATCATCCACCATCTTCCATATGGGAGCTTCCTTAAATCCTGTCTTTTTTTCATTATTGCATAGCCGTTGCAAGGAGTTTGTAATATCACATGTGGGACAGAAATAAAAGGAGTCTGTGTCGGTGAAGATCTTGTGAAATTCCTCAATGATACGTTTTTCAATTTTTTCCTTATCTTTAAAATCGCGTCTTTTAGGAGTTCCGGTTGCTATCGCCGCTGCTTGTTGAGTTGTGTTTTTAATACTGTTCCCCGCACTTTTCAATGTACCCCATGTTTTTGTGAATGCCGTATTCCGTTGAATGTCAAATAAGCCGGTATTTAAGTTTGTTTTCTTTAATGCCAATGATTTGTGCTTTGAACACTGTTTCAGTTGTAAATCGGCATGTTCGGCACCCAACTGCAAAAAACCGATAGATTTTATTTTGTACACAATGTGCTGTCCGTGAATCTTTCCAACTGGTGTACATTCCTTGACAATGAGCAATCGTGGATCGAAAACTGTGGTGTATTCGACTTTACCAATTATTCCGTAACATATACCTAAACATACAGGATCCTCTGCACTTGTTAGCTCCCATCCTACAAGTAACATGATTTCCTAGTGAAATTGTATACCCAGAAATGGATAGGGGGAGGAAAAGTAATTACCTGATTTTGGTACAAATATTCCCGTTTGTCTATCCCACCATAACGAATTTTCACCTTTAACAAAAATGTAGAAATCTTCTGTACGAAGTAATTCCATATTTGTTTTAAATTAGGAAAATATAAAATCATTTATTGAACTGAGCGCGATGTTTGCAGGACGCATGCCGATTGTTGTCAAAGAAACGTCAAACTTTCTCATATACAGCGTGGTTTTACATCAGATAGGTTCAGGACCGTATCGTATTTTTTAATTTATCTAAATTGCTGTGCTGTATGGAACATGTATGGTAGCATTGAATTTATAACTAAATTCAATGATGGTAGTACCTATTGTTCGGTTCTATAAACGATGATTACATAATATTAATCGATGATAGAAAATAATTGGATGATAAACTCCTAATAATTATAGGTTTTAATTTTTGTTGGTGATTAACTTTTTCAAGTCGCTCCTTTTTCCTTTTAAATTTTATCACTCCTCTTTACAAAAGTTAATGACCTAACCCTAGCGGCTCGAAATTTCCTATTTGAGTGCGGTTTCTCCGAGAAAGTCAAAATCCTTCCGTCCGTCCGTCTGGCCATTTTTAAACGTTACAGGGTTGACTTTATTTCCGAGTTCTCGTAGTATGAAGTCAGGTAGAACCTGGGAGCTAAGTATCTCTTTAAGTATCTCTCTTCTGTACGCTTTTGCAAGCTTCTAAATATAAATGTAGTGCAACTACTGGATTAAATTGAATCATATATATTGCGCAACATTATTGTGTGTGATCAAAAAGTGCCCATGACAGCTGTAAAATCTGCAAGATCCTCTAAATTGTTACAATAGAAGCTGGAATGGACGATTGGCAGAGCCGAGTAATTGGCAGGGGTGACTTTTTTGTAAATATCGAGCTAGCCGAGGTAGAAAAAAAAACAAAAATACAATACATTAAATTCAATTTCGATCTGGGAATTACTATTAATTTGGTAACATAATGAAGAACCCATTGGCGTCCCGAACACATTTAAATTTCAATTTATACTTTTTTTGCGCTGTATACATTTTCGAAACAGAGTTGCAGGGGGGATCAGGAGGATACCAAAATGTACCTACCGTTACATGGTGATAAGAAACGTGATGGGTTACTACTATCCTTTCAAAAATGTAACAATTTGGAACAAAAATAAACTCTTGTTGACAGTTGACGAATACCATATTACATTACTACTGTAGGGATGATTCGGAAGCGCCAACGGCGATAAGAAATGAAGACGGATATGTGATTCATTCTTACTATGAAATATGTAATATTCTGAATCGATAGTTTTCTAGAAGCTTTTTGTCTGCTGTATTACTATGCAAATTGATTGTGTTTAGTCTCAGTTTTAAAATCGATACACTCGATCAGAATTTATATTTTTAAGTTAACTATCTGCAATGATCACAGCCGCAATTTGAAGATAAAGTTATCAAAACTTATAAATCGGTATCGTATATTGCAACCCGCTTAAAATGTGGGATCCTTCAAATTAATTAAAGAGCCTTGCCAGTCCACAATTCGGAAATGCAATTGAAAAAGTGGAATGTCAACGAAGTCTATATACTTTCCTATCTTAACACTTTCAGGAGGTTTTTCACTTTTAAAGGCAGGAAATGGTGAAATAACAAACAAATTTGGGCTTCACTTTACGATCATTATTATCACTCCTCACTCTTTGCTTCTCTAAGATTCTCTCAATTTTTAACGAAGGGTGGGGCACTGAAGTAGATGTAGCCCTATCCTGCTTTTTTTAACTGTCAAAGTTTGTTTTGTTTTTTTTGCAACGAAAATCGTTGCTTATTTTGTAAATCGTATTTTTGATTTCAAATTTAAATGTACTGGTAATTTGCGGATTACTCATATCAGTCATATCGTTAGTTTTTCATAAACAAGGTTATAGGTTAGGCTGTAGGAAATAGGAATCAGCCTCATTACTTGGGTGTGACTCATGTAAAATGCACCTCCTTAAATTATTATTTCTCCTATTTTGCGCAAGTTTAGGTAAGTTACCCATCTTCTCGGCAATGTATGCAAATCATGTATCTCAACAGGTAGCTGCTCGCAATGCACAATACCAATAATTCTGCAGGGGTCATGGTTTTCTTGGGAAAATGGGCAAAACACGCAAACAGAATTGGATGCAACAACAATGTCCCGAAAAGGGGAATGTATTGGAATTATGTCGGAATATCATGTAAATTACACACTGATTTTCAAGAAAGAGCAGTGCTACAGTTGTGTTAAGTTCCTCATACGAACTGTGAATGTTATAGAAAAAATTGAAAGTAGTGACCTATCTTATTGAACTTGGGTTTCATGTTAAGTTTTTAGCTCCTTGTGTGGATGCCCCAGATGATCGGGTTTCGATGGAATACATCTGTCGCAGTTTAAATCCCGACCAACAACAAGTTACGCTCTTCTCTGAAAACTACATACCTGTAAATTGCAGATCGTCCCTGGAAGGCGTATGGAATTTTGCTTATCAGAACCGATTCAAATTTACAGGAGAATGCAAACATCCCGATGCGCATATACGATCTTGCCAACAGGCGGGTTCCCAATTTTTAATTACGAATCAGAAATTTAATATCACATACAAAAAGTGCTCAGGAATGACTGGAACGTTTGATGGAGGTATGCATGTACTATGGAATTGAGACTGCTTTCAATAGTTTAAACTATGAGAGCTTGGTGGCTCTAACATCAACACTAACGACAGTGACTGTGTAAAGACAGTGCGTTCTTCAACCATGTCAAGTCATGTTTTTTCCAATTTATCATTGAGCTGAATGGTTTAACCAAATTAGTAGATTTTGCTATGGTTGCAATAATGCTGTCACAATAAATTGTGTCCACTCACGAAGATAAATTCAGTACCTCGGATTACAGGTAAAATTCCACCAAATCTGTATTTGGCCAACTTGGCACATCTTCCAACTACCAATAAAAAGTAACGCCGTCGTATGACCACACTGTCTCTATAGTCACTGTACTAACACCTCGACTAACACACAAGAATTTATCAAAAATATTTTCAAATTGGTGGGACAGTGAATTATACCAGAATTTGAGGCCCACTTGTTTATTTTAAACGGAACACCACATATATTATTATTTAATTGGGACTTTAGGAGACTGTGTCAGTATTTTGATTATAAATAAATAAGGGAATTCAAAAACTAATTTATTTGATAAAATCTAAAAACAATGTTTTTTAGGGCAATATATGCTATTATTATTATTAGTTATAATAATAATAATAAATACCTTTATTTCATTACCTTGCATAAATATATAACTTAAAATAAGCTATTATTATTAACAGTAAAACACCATTTACAGAGCAAATAAATTACAAATAATAATAATAGTTATTTCATATTTTTATGACTGTTTGCATCACATTTTCTTCTTTTAGTGGTCGAATATAGCTGCTTGGGGGACTGGTTTGTGGACAAGAACCATTATTTCGCCGTTGCAAATACGAAAGAATCACGTAAGGATGAAAAGTATCGGTGTTTCCTGAAAAATCGCGACGATGATCTTTATATCGGTGTCTCGATCACTGCAGAATGTAACACTTTGAAAACTGTCGAAAAGAGCCCTGAGAGATTACACATCACTCCAGGTATTTTTCTTACACGGCGTAACTGCCTACTAATTGAACAAATTGTAGTCAAATCTGAAGTTGTCGAGCCGGGCTGTCGACTGCCACAAAACTTTTCAGGCGAGTGGATTAATACAGCGAACATAGATGCGGATATTTTCATTAATGAAACGCACATCATTGAGACGTGGTACCCCGACGAGGGTCGGTACAGGCGTACAATTTACGTCTGTCGTCAGCAACGTGATTCTCGAGTTATGATGGCCAGATTGACTGTGGACGGATGGTAAGATCTGCTCGACTATTTCCATTTGTAACCAATTCATTTTAGTCAAAAAGATTACGTATGCTTTGACTTTGTGCCACAGCATCACAATGTCATACGTTATCGTAGAGGTATTGCGGTTATCAAAGACAATTTCCATACCGTGTGTTCATGGGTACAATTTCCGAACCAGGTAAAGTGGAAGTACGAGTTGTATTTACGAAAAAATCCAGTTGCCATTCGATGTCCGGTAGCTGGGAAGTTTAATTTTACTCAAAAGGGTGACATACTTTACGAGACTCGAATATTGGGCGGTGTTACATTGAGTCCGCGTCCTAATATATACTGTAAGGAAAATATATCAGATTTTTCTGTTTGCGATACAGACCAGAAGGAGATCGCTATTGATGAGAATTACTGTTTGTCTGTGGATTATCGTGGACGACCAGTAGATATTTACAGTAAGGATTAATAATTTACAAATTCTGTACCCCTTCACTTAAACTCTAGGCGATCCTGACTACCGAATGCAGTGTATAGCTTATTGGAAGGAAAATATAAAATCATATCTAATAACCTACGACGAGTTGGACCCATTTTCAAAGTATCGGTGTTGGGTTTACCAAAGGGCTGACTTGAATAGGGTGTTGATGTCTCAAGCCATTGGACCATTCTGTGATCTTAAACAGGATGTGTATTCTTCTAACTATACTGAAGGGGCAGCAGTTCATATCGAATTGCAAGAGTATGAAAGAGAACGTAAGTAGTCATGCAAAATGACCTCTAAGCTATTGTGATCAATATATAAAATTAAAATTAGCGTTGTTTCCCAATAGCATCTTTTAAATGAATGGAAGCAGACAAGAACAGTCATACTTCCCTGATTTAAATGCAAATAAAAACCCACTTATTCATTTTAACATTACAGGAGATCGATGTCCAATGCACTTTGACGATGGTACAAACCCTTGGGCTGAAACTGAAAGTACTATCAAAGTACTAACATTTGGGTCATATAGAAATTCGTGTTCAACACAATCGTTAATACTCATATTGTATATAAGTTCTATTTTTAGTATATATTTCTTATCTTAAGTGTACTGCACTGTTTTATTACCGTCCAAAAAAGTTTTCAAGACTTTGATCTAATATTGTGATTCACCAATTAAAATTTCTCAAGTTTTCCCAATTCCATGCAGCTAGTCATAAAAACTGATTACTGCTTGGAGTAATTTGAGAAATTTTGCCTTATTTTAAATGACCAAATTCGGCAACTATTTTATTAATCTGATTGTTGATCTTTACAATTCATAATAATACGTACATTTTTGAAAAATGAGTCATTTATGTTGCGAAAATTGTATTATTATCTACAAAAAATGTTCAGAAACGGTAAATAATAATACAATGTTTATAAGACTTTTGTGTTTTTTAGTTTATAAGTAAAACTGTGACTTAACTATATTACAACAAAATATGACATTTTTTATGATCTGTGTAGCTGTCAATTTATATTTTGATATCTAAAATTACAATAAATGTTTCTATAAGTTTGTATTTCATTTGTTCAATGTCTGAGGATGTGTAGTGTGGGGGAACAGAGGAAAGTGGGTTAATATTGTTGTGCAAACTGCAAGAGAGTCACCTTTCTCTGTCATCTTTATTGTCTTTTATGACTGGAAATTGGGTTTTTGTATTATCATAGACCATGGTATTATTAAGTTAAGGTCTATTATTGTATTTAAATGAGTGAACGAAATTAATGGAACGCAAAACATTTAATTTAAAATGACTCACGAAAGCATCATCTGGACACATGGGTGTATAAAAGCTTAGTTTCTGTTGAAATTTAGGGAATTTGATAGCGGCATTCTATTGTACCGTAAATTTAATAGCGTGTTTATTTATTACAACTAATTAACAATACCTTTATAATAGTCTTAAAAATGTATTATCACTTACAATTTATAACATAACTCAAGCGCATCAAAGTTGGAACTGACTGAAAAATGCTACAATTTGCTTATATAGTAAACGACAATTTTGTTCTGTTAGAACAATTCGGAATGTTCTACAGTAAACACGTCATTTTTCTCAGAAGGATTGAGTCACATCCGCCTTTGGTCTTGCCGCAGATGATTAATCTTAATATCTATTGGGATTTCGGAAATGTTCACTAGGTACATAATTTTATTCTGAGTGTAAAAAGTGAACGTCAGGGTTTCTCTCCGAGTTTGGTACCTATTAAAAGTTTAATACAATTTAGAATAATAGTAAATGATGTGAGCTGGCTAGACAGGTGTCCATTCAGGAAATAATCTATAAAGACTGCTTCTCCTAAACCAAGTTCAGATCAGGGCGGATCAAAACTCACCTGATGGAACAAAGAACTGGAAAAGGCAAGACACCAGGAATAAGTCAGACGCTATTTTAACAGATCAAAAACCACCGAAAATTGAACACGCACTAGCGCAAAGTGCAAATTCATCCTGGAAGAAATATTGTTGGGACATCGAGTCACACATCGTTAGTCAAGATTCCAATTCTGGAATTGAAATCACACCTGAAGAAAATATCGTTTAACTTTGAAGTCATACACAGTTAATACACGAAACCCAATCTTTTACTCAGACAGTTCCAAATTTGTGGAACAGTTTTTTGGAATTTTGAAACACCCTGTACATGAAATGAACAATACTCGTTTTTTTTTGTGTTGGTATGTCAATGCAGTGCTGACACTTGTATTATAACCTAGAAATTTTTAAAATAGTGTAATTTCATAATTTGAATTTCTCTGCAATTATGCTATATTCCAGTGACAGCAGTGATTGTGACAGTGATGAAGAATTTTTTACAAAAAAGTGTTTCGCGGTGGAGTTACCCAAAAATTTCGATCCAAACTCGACGCCAAGCACAGGTATGACTTAACAATCTGCGGTGACCTCTAATGCTGATTAAACACAGGTGAAGAGTACCTACAGCATGTCATGTACGAAGCACGTAATTGTGACAAAGTAAAGTCAGTGAATTTTGACAGCCACAAGTTTCGCCAGAAACAAACGGTTTACGTCTCCGAAACGGTATCATTTCCTAGAATTATTTGTGCTTAATACCATTTTTTTAGGATCGTGATTATGTGGCTGCACCAACACGAATGGTACCGTCGATTGAATGGCAAGAAAACATCATACGTGAGTTTGAAGATTATCGACACTATGTTGCGTCACAATTGCCACACACTCCCAATCCCAAGAAGTCTGACTTTATATGGAGTGAGAATTCGGCATTGGAATATCCCGAGCTTCTAACAATAACCAATCTGAATTGCATAGAGCAGACTTCAATATTAAAACGAATAATCGAAAACTTGGAAAGCATCAAGGAAGGATGCAGCATAGACAGGGTACTAGGTTGTTGGATATACAGTATTTTAAGTGTGTTGGAGAAGCCATTGTATGGTAACAGCTATCTTTTACTACGAGATTTATCTAGAGAGTGTAGTAAAATTAGATCTAAACTCCCTTCCGATGCGTCACCTGAGCTGTACACACCGTTGAATGTGTTTATATGCATTGTGGCACGATTCTTTGGCCAGTTAGATTTAATCGACTCCTAGTCTACACATCCTTTATTTCAAACACATTTATTAAAGTTAGGCCATTTTTGTATTTCTTGATAAAGCATTAACCCGGGACTGTGAGTTGCACTGAGCTGTCTCGCACCGTATAGTTTGTAATTGGAGCTAATTTCTTGTAGTTCCTTTGCACATTGTATTAAATCTTTACCTACTTTCAATTGTTTAGTATTCGGCAGTTTGTCTAAAACAAGAAAGTCATAAAGGCTGGGACAAGTCATTTTTACCTGTGAACTTCCCAATGAAGGCTATGCCTAAAGATTTGCTATTATAACCCTTGGTGTGACTTCCAACTTTGTGCCAACCCCGACCTTCGTACACAGATCCATCACCTCCTATTAGAAAGCTAGTGAGCATTATGATTACTGTTGCAAGATCTAATTACTTATAAATGATGTCGTACAATTCATGATCGTCCATGTGATAATTCTGCATACTTTTTAATAATTCTGAACATTTAAGCATGCTATGGCATTCGGGTGTCAACGTATGATGAATTATTACAAAATCTAAGGGAGTTAGAGAATAGTCGAACTGTTTAGCCCCTCTTGCACCCCACTCATTTTTAGGTATAATATGAGGGCACACCTTTGGAAAACCATGCTTCCAATCTAAAGAATTAAAATTAAATAAACTGAACTAGTCCAATAGCATACCTCCAAAAATAGGTGCAATTAGGAGCACAATAATTAGTGCAGTATTCTGCATTTTCTAAGACTAACTGTTGCCTGTATGAGAATTACTCAATTAAGCTGTCAGCAGAAAGTGATTACTTAATCAATGATTTCGAAAGTCCAAATAATACAAAAAGGTGTTTATTATACAAAGCACTGTGAAATATAAAGCACTGCAGTACTACAAGCACTTGCCTTCCCAATGTCTATGATTTAAAGCAGAAAAATCGTTACAATTCTTAGCTAAATATTTTAAATATTTCGTTAAATGTAACAATTCCTTATCTTTAGATCGATTAAGGTGAGCCTGACGAAATGGACGTATACGTAAACCATTCTTGGGATTCATTATAAAATTTCTTCGTATATCATCGAACATTATCGTATTTTTATTCGAGTATTGCTTAAACTTGCCCCAAATGACACCTAAGGGTTTGACCTGCAACGTAACGGTTATATTTGTAAAAGAAAACACACAAAACGTACCTCAATTACTCCATATTTGGGTGTATGCACCGAGATCATTGCCAACGAATCCAAATGAAACATTATTTTATAATTGGGATTGTTGGTAACGCCTAATAACTTCATTTTCTCATCGATCCACTTCATTCCTGTCGCCGACCAGATCACAATGTCGTAATCTTCGTAAGCAGCCGTTAGAAATTCGTGTAAGTACGGCCGCATTAGCTCTGCACCGGTCTCAGCGACCGATCTGTGATCGAAGAGCGTGTAATCGATATCCAATACTAAAAGGTTTTTACCGTCTCGCGGTTGATTTAACATTTTAATTTCGTAGTCTTTAATTCGTTTATCAATTTTTGCGAGATACTCTTCGCGGTTTTCGATCGCGATTTCCTCTTCTTCAATATCGAGATCATTTATAACTTCAGGAATATCGTCAGGTGTCGTGTTTACTTGGGCAATGTCCTCTTCCAAAGATCCCATCATCATGATTTTGAAACCGGGTTTTAGTTTCAGCATACATAATCGGCATTCGTTATCGGGGGCTTTCCCTAAATATTACAATAGAAAGTTAGGTCAAAAAAGGGAGAATTACAGTATGGGATTACCCTTAAATTTGAGGTTAAGAAGTTTTTGACGTTCGGGACGGACTCCAGTTTTTTTATGAATTATGTCCTTCAAGTCGCCAACAGTTTCATCCTCCCTTAGTTCCAATTCGTATTCTTTTCCGCTCCATTTAATTACAACTTTTAATAAATTATCCATACTGTTTTTGAACGAAAATTTAAAATGAACACAAAGATACCACTTGTACCAACATTGAACATAAAGCCGAAACCGGTTTAGTACCAACCTCATTTCCTAAATATACAGGAGGAAACCAACAATATTGCTTAAAAAAATAAGTTTTAGTGTATAGACGTATATGTCTTATTCAAATATTATAAGACGGACTTTTGCAGAAACATCAGTACTGAAGCCTAAAAAATACACTGTTTATATCTCATAACTGCTAGGAGAATTTAAAAATTCTCTTTTTCTCCCCAGTTTCAAACTCCATTCAATTCAATAGTAGTTCTTTTGCCCAAATTGGCGATTGAACAACGACCTCGACGTCCCATGGTCAAAATCATTAATATTATTGGTTCCCCCATACAACGATCTAAATACATTATTAACTTTTTTACATTGGATTGTGGATAACGGTGTGATAGTCCAGTTATTGAAATAGACTGCACATTGCAACAAAATAAACATCTTCCTTTATGTTTACGTTGTTGTCCCTTAAAAGTCGGCTCGCCAGCCATGGCTGCGGGCTGCCCTTGCTTTCAGTTTGAGTATACAGAATAGGCGAGAATACCTTCTCCATATTGGAGTTGCTTAAACTTTCATATGTGTCTTGATAGCAAACAAAATGTTTTGATATCGCAGTAGAAAATTGGAAATAAACCCATAAATATTAGGTGTTCATCTATTTCTAGCACCACTCGCTAAAGTAGGAAGCGCTTATATAGGTAATAGGTATATATCCTCGATTGTGTACCAATGCACATAGATTTTTCTCTATGCTATGGTCATGTTTTATTATCGTAGATAGTACGTTGGACGTACAAAGGGAACAGGGCTAGTGTATTTGTGACATGTGAATGTAATCAAATAGAGGTGCGGATCAAAATGTATTTATTTTTATAAAATAAGCACTTATTATTAGGTTTATTCTTAATTGAGATAATCAATAGCATGGGTTGGTCTGCGTTCACGTGTAAAACTAACCCAGAATCTCTCTTGGAAATCATCATCACTTCTTTCAAGACACTGGCTTGGTTTTGTCTTTGGAAATACACAAACGGCGCCGGACTGTTGTAATTTGCTCTGTGGAACATTTATATTAAAGGCGTCACTCCATTGTATTACCTTATCCAGGCATGCACATTGCAAAGGATTATCGGATATGACAAGTAACGATAGCTTGGGTCGTATTACTTCCAGTACTTCTTCAGATATGTACGTTATGTTATTATTATCAATAATAACACTTGTCAGTTCCGAAGGGGCGGAGAAATTAATGTCAAAGCTTTTTAATCTGTTCTCAGCCAATTGCAAAAATTGCAATTTTCTCAATCCTTTAAAGGCGTCTTGGTGGACGAACTCTATTTCATTTCTACCCAACCATAGTTCTGTAATAGCTGGCAGGCTGATAAAGGCACCTCGTGGAATTATACGCAAGCGATTCTGTGCCAACATTAAGAGTTTAAGGGCTGGCGTGTTAGAAAACCAAGTTTGGTCAAAATGATCCAAGTTATTTCCGAAAAGAGACACTATATTTAAGATTGGAAGATTATTAAAAGAACGTGGCGACACATCAGTGATCTTATTATAGTCGAGATGCACTCCAGATAACGACGGCAAATCTTGAAATGCATTTTGACTAATCCAGTACAGTTCGTTGCCCATTAACTGAATTCGATGAAGTTTGGGAAGATTCAAAAAGGCTCTTTCTTTTATAGTCTCGATGCTGGTATTAAAAAAGTCAATGCGAAATTCACTTAAAATTCCCTGAATTGCACCGTAATTTAAATCTTGAATGTCTTGATTTTTTGCAGTTATGTTGAAAATTTTACCTCTAAATCGAATGGTGTGGGGTGAAATACAACCACTTACTGTTCGACTTTCACCATTTACCTTTATGACGTTGTTTTTGAAACTTGAGACTGTACATTGCATTGAAATTCTTAGCAATGATAGGATCACGCACGTTTTTATCATAGTGAAGCGGTTGGAAATTTAGTAGGTACTAGGTATCTTTCTGACGATACGCTGTTTTATTATAGACTTTATCATATTGGGAAATTGAAAGGTTAAAGGGTATTCCATATCTTAGTGATTGTACGAAACTGAATTCAGACAATAAAAGGCGGTGCTGGGAGCTTAATTGTATGCTTTATAAATAATTCCCTTTATACTTCCCCTCGTGCCCCTTCCATACATCAAGATATTCCTCAAAACCTGGCTCACTTATGTACCAATGCGTGCTTATCCGGATATCTTACGCTTTCACTTCAACACCTTTTTCACATGTCAATCTTTCACATCTCTTATTAACCAGCTCCCAAGTGAGCCCATGATTTGGACTTTCTGTCCGTCCGTCCATCTTTGGCATGAAAACTCGCCAACGGTTTCGAATTTTCCAATTCTGTTTTCAGTAATAGGGACTAACTGATTCTTTACGCCTCTATCATTCTGGAATATATTCTTCATCTCTGCTCCTTTTTTATTTCCCTTGGTCCGCGTTTATATGCTAATTCACACTATCATCGGACCTCATTGCTACGAGTACTTTTATGCTTTTCTCATAATTCCTCCCCTCCTCCCACATGGGGCAAAAATACATAATACTAATACGCGAAAAGTTACGGAAGTTAGTCTCTTTGTTGAGGATCGATTCTCGCTGTCAAATCTCGTTCATGACGCGCCGGTGACTCATTCCACAAAATGGCCGCTCGTCATCAGCATATGTCAAAGGTTTTGGCAACCGCAGGCAAATGGTTCATCCAAGGTTATCAACTCCAAACTCATATGTCGACATCAGGGTAGGTAAAGCGTCTTCGTACTTAAGCTAGTCAATTCAAACTAGATTTTGAACTAACAGACTAACACCCTAAAATTAAAACTCTAAAAGAAAATCAAAAGTAACCCCTCTTTCTTGATAAACTAACATCTACATCCCAGTAAACATTGTTACATTACATTGATAAACATGCTACATATTTTTAGATTTGTTATGTCACATTTTACATCACAGGTAACTTACTTTTACATAAATATGCAATGCATAATGTTACACTCATGCTTCTTTGTTTAATATATCCTTGTAATATAAATTGTTCTTCCAATTTAACTTACTTGCACTGTACAGGTGAAATATTTCTTAAGTAGATTTGATACCAAAATACCAAAAAAGTTACTCACATGCGACCTGGTAATTCAGTAAAAATTACGAATTAAAAGTGAAATTAAATATCACCAAAATGTTTTCTATTTCAAAAAATTTATAATACATATACGTATAAATAATATACCTAGGTAATACCATATTAATATAAAAAAAATACAATTTATAAAAAACAACAATCAACAGGAAAATAAATAAAATGAATTCTTAAATATTGCTTCAGGACAAACGTATACTACGAATTGTTGACATTTTCCTTATCCTTTTCCTTGCCTCGCTGCAGTCTTTGTTTGCTAAGACGAAACCATTCTCCCACATTTCGCTCAAGATCGCTGAGTTGAATTAAGCTATTGTAGCGCAGCATTACCACTTCTAAACAAACAAAATATGAATCAGTAATCTTAATTGAAATAAATGTGGGATTAATTTTTTTACAATAAACTAAGGCTTACAAAAACACTACTACTAATATCTAGTCAATTATAATTGTTAATCGTAAAATTTGAAATGTGCCGTCTTACCAATAATAGCGTTCATGATCGTGAGGTTTTGAACCTTGAAATTGCCTCTGTGGCCCATCCAGGAGCACTGTACCCCTAAATTGTTAGTAAAAACACGGGATAGACATCGGTTAATGTTGTCCTTTGGGTAGCGACCGCCAATATTCTTCATGTATGAAATCTGAAATAAATAATGAAAAGAAAAAGATGATTCGTCGTTTTTGAGTTCTAGACAAGTTTAAAAATAAACGGGGCATTATACAACAATGAATAATAACGATAAAACTAAATACTTTCCTGATTTTTACACAAAAGTAAATCACAACGTTAAAAAACTGAAGCAATCAGCACACAAACTACCGCGAAAAGTGAACAAGCTCACAAAGCAGCCATTTTTCCACCCGCTAACCTCAGATACTTACCATCCATACCACCACCGATACCGAACAAAAGTTACTAAAGATATTGGCGGTAAGTTTAAAATAGTAAATAAACACCGACATGGCGACTTCCAAGTTCACCTTGGTAAGAACAGAAAATTCTGTGCATCGCATTTACGTCTGTTTAACACACATGTTATTATGAGTTTATGTTATATTTCTCATCACAAGTAACGCCAAGTTAACATTACGATATGTTGATGTGCATATCGTTTACGTTAAACGTAACATTATAATACATCGCACGAACGCCTGTATTTACGTTAGAGTTATATAAATGTAATATTTATGTAAACGTTACTTTATTGGTTAAATCAGAATCGTCTCACCCGTATAGCAGCTACGTACAAACTTAACGTAAAATTGTGCTGCCAAAATTATGTAACTGCGAGGTTAATGTCACAAAATTGTTTACTGGGATACCTCTTAAATAAGAGGGCTAATTATAGATGAATGCAAGAATCGTCAATGGAAATTGTAATATGACAAATATCTGCCGGAACCTAAAGAAAAGGTACACTTCAATTACGGAAAATACAAATGCTGGTACTTACGATAACGAGATAGAAAGCAAATTATATCCTCCCTACCGAGATCTATAGATAATTCCGCCCTAATTACTACGGAATCTACAATTTAATGAATCCAATTGCCAGAGATTAATAAAATAAGAATGATGGCAATTAAAATTCCATGCGTTCTTACTCTATCAGCTGTTTGAGTAAAATAAAGTGTAATTGCACAGAAAGAAAGTGAAAATCGAAACGCACTGCGCGCTAAAATTGAGTTGTTCAAATTCCAACAATATATAAAGTCATTTAGTCAAAAGTTACGAGGATCTTTCAGTAAAATATACCGTAATAATGCTTCTAATGGATAACATAAACCGTTACAAAACATGCGAAGCGGTGCCCGGAGCTTTTTAAAGGCTGATAGTCCACGATAATCGGCCCTGGGCTGTTTTTGCCGAAATCAACGGTGCGTCGAATCGACGAGATGGTGCCGGGTGCGTAATAACCGGAAAATATCCCTCCATGAGTGTGGCTACTCCTCCGTGCACTTGTGTCGGAGGGACTCGGTTACCATAAGGGGTCCGCCGAATGGCTCAAAAATCAATTCAGAATAATAATATCTTTATTATTTTTCAGGAAAAAAAGGACAATAATATAATATAAACCCCTGTCAATTGCCTTGCCATTTTTCAGTTGTCACCGGCGGAATTCAACGTTTTTTTCCGGTTTTTACTAAACAATAAACATGCCTGGATGTTGTGTTCAGGAAGATGTGATCATTCGGCCACGCATTGCTGGCAGGCGTGTCTTCTTAAACTAGTAACCAGTAGGTTACCAGTGAATTCACAGGGAATTCCATATCCTCTCAACATTTACTACAAAAAAATTATAATTAGAGTCGTCATTTCCGATGTGGGTCCACAAAATAGAAGGTTTTGCTGGCTAGTAAACACAGCGAAATTAAGAATTACACATTATTCACCCTTCTATTCTTGGAGAGAAGTTATATTTACAATGTCTGACACGATACACGTTTATAAGAACGTAACCGGTGCGTTGAGAATGGACAGAATAAGTGTTTCCTGAAGACCTTCGTGAAGAGTTTCAGTTGTCGTCTACAGAAATATTTCATTGGATCCTATCAAAACAGGTATGCAACTGGACAAAGATGAAGTAATTACGAGAGTAATTATTAGCCTCGTCCTGAAGGAAAAATATGATTAACGGAAACCATTGCCTTACGTGTTGCTTTAAACCATATGATGTAGCAATTCTTACTGCGTAATTTTGGAATCAAAATGGCGGCCGAATTGCGCCACTTTGTAGAGTGACTTATTACTTTTAATTAGTGGTACTGTTCGATTACAAATTTAAGAGGGGCCCGGTTGCCATTTGGATGGAATATCCATTCCGATGATCATTTTTTTAAACGTGCTGTTTTTATTCATGTAGGTATTACTGATCTACTGTGCCTTTCAGGCGTAGAACCTAAGTGTTAAGTAACCTGTTATACTCGTATTATTAATGAATTACTTATCAGTTATCAAGGTCAGTTCCCCTGAAAGAAGTTTCAAACCGCAGAAGTGGATCTCGACGGACGGAGAAACCACAAACAATAGCACTTGTTTTATTCTTAAAAATGAGCTATAATTAACAATCCGTAATTGTTTAACAGGAATATATGTAGTTTCAAAAATTAAGTAGTTATACTTTTCGGTTTGTAAAACATAGCAGGGTGTACTACCGCTTTTATACCCCTAATTAATTTCAAAGCTGAATTCTAATAATTTGGATATCGCGAGAGGTGTAGTTTCAAGTTCAGTGGTTGCGTTAAAAGTAAGTTAATTTTACAATTAGAATTTGTGTACTGTCTGAATTACGATTAAGTCTTTGTAGTCCAAACCAAGTCTAAATCTGAAAACCGGTTGAGAACTACTGAACAATCCATATGTGTGGTTAGTTCAGTGCAGAGTTTGATCTCTGACTGAAAATTATTTATAGTAAATAAATATGGAATTATATGCTGACATAAAGACTGATTAAGTTTATTGTTAAAGTTACATACGCAAAATAGGATTGCAGTAATGGATGATTTAGGTAAGTTTACTTGTCAAAGTTGTACATAACCTGCAAATGTTGAACTTAGTAGACTTAGTTTTGCTGTATTTTATGTATATTTCCTGTTACTTTTCGTCCAATTTTGATTGAATTTTATTTTCTCACAAACTTTGCGAAATTGGAAGGTGTTTTGCAATATATTATAATGCCAAGGGCAAAATCAGCGGTCCCCAAAAGCTGTAGGTAGCTGTTACGGTTGTAAGTTGTAAGTCATAAACACCGACCATATAAGGGATTATTTCTAAAATTGCCCTTGGCACATTATTAACATATTTTTAAGTACTTTTATCGCTTTAGTATTAAATTCACATTCGCGCCCAAAGCCCATTAAATACAGAAATCAAAAGTTACATCACTACCTATAATTTTAAAAATAGACATTATGCATCTTCAAGAATCTAATTAACTTTATGTGATAGCAGTTTAAAGCAAACACGCTCGATAAAATTTCAGCCCAAATGAAAATTATACAATTACCATCCGGATATGTGGCGCGCGTTAAAGTGTTTTATTAACGATTCAATTACTTTTTAAATTAACAAAAAACCTTCGCATTAACAAAACGACACGGCTCAAAACAGTTTATTTTGAACGCACTCGCGTTGTTGTGTACACTACCATTTAATTTTTGTATTTTATTTATTGTGGAATTCGTCTAATTTTGTAACCGGTCGCGTTGTCTCTAAAGATCATTTAACGCACGCGCCAAGTCTACGTATATTTTAAAAAAATAAAAGAATAACTAAATCTGATATGTATCGTGGTTTTTCTCGTATTTATTTACGCACATAAAGTGTCTTCGGCACGAATATTTCGCTCGTAACGCATTCAAATTTCCGGTAGATTCTGATTGGTGTATTTGATCGGTACGTCATTATGGATCGGACGATGTACGGAAAGTTCGTACCCGGCACTTTAAATCCTTATCAATGCACACTGAAGATGGGAACGTCTCCTGGCTGTAAGTTTTTAGTTTTTCTTTCATTTGGTCGGATTAAAATCCATACTACTTAAACGCGTAATTGGCAAGCGGCATGAACTAATTAGAGTGATGTCATGTTTGATAATGGGTAATAAAAGTGTATGGGGTATTTATAAATTATGGTATTTATATTCCTGTTTGCGATTCCCGACCCACCTCAGTCGTTACGGGCCAACGACTTTATGCGGAGCAATTTTGCGAAATGTCTAATTTGAGCGTTTTTCCTGTATTCACAAACAAATTGTTTAAATAAGTACATATTTGAGTCTCTGGAAGATGATTGCTTTACCCAAAACGAGAGCGAAATACACGTGGTATTTCTCGTACAGTCGTACACATAAGTACCTGGTGTAACGCAAATTTAATTACCTGATTGTTTTAGGTACCGTAAAATTATTATTTATGCACTTATAGCCACCGGTAAATAGATTGATTTTTAACAATTCAATATTTATCATTCAATTTGCTTAAATGGCAAACAAAAGGCTTCTAGAGAAATCTCGAAACGGCATATCATATCTCAGAGAAAGAATGAGTCACATTGCCATTGATTTTTTATCGCCGGTGACCATCTTCATGGCGCTTTGATAACGATCTATATTCTATTTCTATACTTTCAACAAGAATTGCGATTTTCAAAACTTCAAAAAAGTTAATCTTTTGTCTAATTAAAAAATACATTTGCTATTTGCATGTTTAGAAACCTTCTAATTTTGCGTCGCCACAAGAACATACGCTTCGACATAGGCAAATGATTGCAGAAAAAATTTAAGAAATTAAAATTTTGGAGCTTTTCGGGAGTTTGCGAGGGGTGTGCCAATTCCGAAAATATGTACACCTCGATGTACACATATTTATACCTTTAAAATGTTATGTATTTGATCAGTGGCGGAATTTAGGATTTTGTCTAGGGAGGGGCGCATATAATTTTTAAAAACATCGAACATTTTGCCATAGTACGTAATATATCGAACAAATAACTAATTACTAAAATAAGAAAAGAACAAACCAGAAAATCTCTAAATGACAAATTACAGCTTTCTTTTTTTACTTGGAAATTGATTTTTTACACTTTCACGTAATCCGTACTCGTTTATTATTATCGTTAATAAATGATTAGATATTTATATATTTAAATTTGATATTTTTTTTCACTAAAACGATTTTTTAGGTCAGTTTATTAAATGATCTAGAATTGTCTAGGAGGGGGCGCGCGTCCCCCCTTTAAATCCGCGCCTGTATTTGATGTATTACTGGTATTTTGAATATTTAATTCAGAGAGAGTTGGAGTGTGTCAAACTCGGTGTCAAACAAAGTGTATAACACTAATGTGTTTTTATCGAGGTTTTTATGCTCGTTTCTATGTTTAAAACATATTTGTTTTAATTTCGATTTTTATACCTACACTAATTCGACAATTTACGACATAATTTATTACCATTTTTGGTCAAGAGACATGTGTTTTAAAAGCAAAATGTGTCTACCTATTGGGATAGAATAATCTAATTATTCCAGTAGGTATACAGAACAGTTTTCAAGAAGATTATATTAGTTACTAGCAGACTCCGCGAACCGCGTTTGGGAAATCTCATTTTCTTGGATGAGACATACGCTTGGTTTCGGCGGCGCATTTTGGTGGCTGCGCCGCCTCACCTCGCTCACCCGGCCAATTAAATAATCAGCTAGCGGTATGAAATATTTTTTTTCGATCTATTCTCGTACCTACCAAATACTTATAGGTACAAAAAATTCGTAAAAATCGGTCGACCCGTTTCGGGGGAGTACGACCACAAACACCGTGATAAGAGATTTTTATATATTAGAGAGGAGCCTAGAAAACTCTGAAAAGGGCATAGACAGCTCTGGAATGTGCCTATAAATCGTTTAGCTGTGACGAGGGCCTAGACAAATGAACGAATGCTAAGGATCGGCATACTCATCGCTTTTTAGTAACGGGCGATTACAAATGAGTTGCTGTCGAGTCGCCTTTGGAAGTTTAAGTACGCTTTTCCATGTAAACAACAATTTCAAAGGTGACTCGACGGCAACTCATTTTTCATCGCATAGTACACTTACTATACTTTAGCGTTTAAAGGCTTACTTTCTGAAGCTAGGCAAGCCTAGACAAACCTAAAAAGTTCTTATTAAAAACTAGAAACTTATAGAAAAAAAATGTGAAGACACTACAACGCGCTGTAAAAACCGGAACCCTTTGACACCCACAATTTCTCTGAAAAACCTTAAAGTGCTCTGAGATGCACTTTTAAGTTATAAGTGAATGTAGAAAGCACTGAAAAAGCCCTAGAAATAGAAATCGTTACACAGAGTGAATATTTTGTCTGGACCACTGAATATATCGGAATATATCTTCAAAACCACATTCTTTCTAAAGAAGCTTTTTATGGTACATCCAAAAGTATAAAAAGCGAGATAAAAAGTTTGCTACCTATGTACGTACTTTAAATTTGTGGTCAGTGCCGTACTTCTGCATGCTCAAGGGGGGCATATTTTTTTAATGGCAAGTACTACCTAGTTAAGTAGGTAGTTTTCATTACATATGATTAAAGAGTACACTTTTTTGGACATAGCAACCGAGATAGCAACATAAAAAACTTACAATCAAATTTAAGAAAACACTCAAATTAAGGAAAACAGTTAATTAATTTTATAATTTTACTGGTTTGATGATGTTTTTTTATGTTGTCTTATTGAAAAAGATTCATCGAAAAATATTGCTTTCCATAAAAAAAGTGACCCTCCCTCTTCCGTAAACGCATGCAGATTTACTTATACGTTTTCAATGCTTTTTGATACAATACATATAATATAAGTTGCAATAAGTTGTTTATGTTGCTGTATTCAACTGCACCCTTTAAGACTATGTATCTAAGGAAAACCAGCAGTTGCTATTAAAAAAAATGTGGCTCCCTTCACCTTGCAGTACGGTACTGACCACAGATTTAAAGTAAGTACATTGGTATCAAACTTTTTATAATTTTGGATACCATAAAAAGTTGCTTAAAAAATAAATTTTGAAGACATATCCAGTGTTCCAGACAAAATGTTCACCCTGTATAACTGCTATGTTAATTTGTTGGGTTATTAAATTGTTTAGGTCGTTAATGTAATAAAAAATTTGCGTAGGCATAGCAGGTACCACCCGCACATCTGCGCATGTGCGATTCTGCCCTTTTATGTCTAAGAATAAAATTTGGTTCCAATCGGTATTTCCGTCAAAAAAGTGGAGGGGTGGGGTAATTTTTTATCCCAGTACAATACCTCCCTTACTGACGTGCGGGTGGTAAAAACAACCCGGTCTGCCTTCTTTGTCTGAACCGTCGACATGCAGAGTGAGGCTGTCGCGTGACTCGTGTTACTACCATTTTTAGGGCATTTTTCAAATTAATAATAATAATATTTTTTATGTAAAGAAAGCACAAAGACTTTGAACAATCGTTAAATTAATACTATGGTAGTATCTTTGATATTGCCTATATCTACAAAAGTGTTTTATGTATGTTATGTTGGTAGGCGCTATTATCGCCACTTTCTCCGTCCGCAACTTTCTTTGTTGGCCCTTTCCTTTCCCAGCTAGGTTCTCGAGATTTATTTTTTATAATCCCTTCTGCTAAATTTTAATCTTGTTCTCGTAGCCAGAGTTGGTCAAGCATAGAGTGACCCGGTGACCCAGTTAGTTTACTGACCCGGTGACCCAGTTGACCCGGTGACCCAGCTTGACCCGGTGACCCAGCTTGACCCGGTGACCCAGCTTGACCCGGTGACCCAGCTTGACCCATCTTGACCCAGCTTTATTCAGTGACCCGTCTTGTCCCGCTGGCCCAGTAATTAAATTATTGTTAGGTATCATCCAAAACAATTTCAAGTAACTTTTAATTAAAAAAAAAAACTTCCTCAATAATATTCGGCAACAAGCACGTAGCCCAATTTCATTCAAGAGAACTAATACCTAAAAAAATCAAATGCATTTGTTTATAGTTTGTAGTCAAGTAGTCAATGAAAGTATTTAGAGAAAAGATTTATTTGGATTAAGCTAACTAGTAGAAAAAAATTAAATGTGAATGAACACCTGTAAGCAAACTGGTAAGCCCTGAAGCAAAGAAATAACATTATTCTAATACAATTCGGGACATGGAAAGTTTTTTAGGGCAGTATTAAAGCAAACATCACAGAAATGGCAGTTGTCAAGCAATCGAGTATTATTTTCAACAAACCAGTATTTCATTTATTGCATAATCTGTACACTTGAACCGAGGGCACTGACTTAACTGCGTTATTCAATCAAACTAGGTGACTGGGTCGAATTGGGTCCCCGGGTGAAATTGCGTCGCTGGGTCAAACTGGGTCACTGGGTCAAACTGGGTCAAGTTGGGTCACTGGGTCAAACTGGGTCACTGGGTCTAACTGAAAAGAGTATGACGTGACCCAGTGACCCAGTTTAATTTAGTGACCCAGTTGACCCAGTGACCCAGTCCAACTCTGCTCGTAGCCAACTTTTATTTGAAATTGGAATCTTCTATTATACACTAGATTATACAGTATGTTTCAAATTAAGTCGGCACTATTGCCTTTATTTCGTGGTCTACTCTTTGAAAAATGAAGTTGGTAGTGAGAACCAAGTTGAGAAACCATTATGTATTTTAGAATTCCCCTCAGAAGAATAACTATGAGGAATCCTCTATCTTTAGGTAATAGTCAAGTTCCGTTCTTTCGTATGAGAGTTTGAGATCTCTAATAATAATAATAATAATAATCTTTATTCCTGTTTACGCGCAATAGCACTTACATTTGTCAACTAGTTTCTTAAAAATTAAAATATATAACACACTATATCACACATAATATAGACAAACAACACAGCTTCAGTTTATGCCACCACCTGTGTGTAAAATATTGGTAAAGCCTTCGGTTAAACATTCATGCACTGAAAAATATGCCTTATCAAATAGGTATTTCTTAATTGTTTTTAATTGTTTTTTGTTATACATTTGAACATTTTCAGGCAGAAAATTAAATATTTTTTGAGATAGGTAGTCATGGTTATTTTGAGTTTTTGCTATTTTACAGTAATCCACTCTAATGTTGTTCTTATTCCTAGTATTGTAACTATGCAGTTCAGATTGAATTTTGTATTTGGCATAGTTCGTTTTAGCAAATAAAATACATTCCAACACGTACATGGATGGCAGCGTTAATATTTTAAGGGAACGGAATGATTTCCTGCATTCGTCTCTATAGGGTACGGAGTCAATTATCCTTACAGCTCGTCTCTGAAGTGCAAAAACATCTGTTGCTGCAGCACAGTTGCCCCAAATTAGTATACCGTACTGTATTACTGAGTGTACTAGAGCATAATAGGCCGCTACTAATGTTTGTTTTGATAAACTGTTACTAAGACGTCGTAGTACGTAAATATTGCTGCTTATTTTTTTACAAATATACCTTGCGTGCATTGAAAAGTTTAACGTTCCGTCCACATACACCCCTAGAAATTTTACCGACTGGGGATTTTCAAAAGAATGTGTTTTTAACGTTTGGAGCAGTTTTTCAGTTTTATTTGTGTTTAATATTAATTCGTTGGTTGTGCACCATTCAGAAGCAATCGAAATTAATTTGTCTTTTAAAACTAAAGTTTCTTCTAAAGTGCCGCGCTGTACAGTTAAAGTGGAGTCATCTGCATACAGAATGCAATCAGCGTGCGGTTGCATGTACTGCACAAAATCGTTAAAATATATTAAAAATAATAAGGGACCTAAAATTGATCCCTGTGGTACCCCTCTCTTAATAGGTAATTTGTCAGACACCACTCCATCGTACACCACATGCTGAAATCTGCCAGACAAATACGAATGAATTAACTTTAGGCTATTCGTGTCAAACTTGTACATAATTTCTAATTTACTTAGCAATATTTTATGAGAGACGCTATCGAAGGCTTTCGATAGGTCTAAAAACAGTGCTAGAGAATATTGACCATGTTCGAAGCAGGTTAGAGTACTATTTACAAATTTAGAGAGTGCACTAATCGTGTTTCTTTGACTCCTGAATCCATACTGATTCTGATGTAAGAGATTATTTGATTCAAAATAATCGGCAATTTGATTGTAGATTATTTTTTCGTATATTTTTGAGAACGTAGGGAGTATTGATATTGGTCTGCACCGAAACCACGTAGAAAAGCCTGCATTTTTTTGCAAATTAAACTGTGGATACTTAATATCTACTACTAATAAAGGTAACTGTGGAGGTCATATCAAAAATGAAATTCCGTGTTACCTAATAAACGCAAACGCGGCGAAAAGTTCTGCTATTTTCTGGTAAACCTTTGAATTTCTTTGTATTTTTTTTCTACTGGGGTTTCTAGGATGCAAATTGTTAACCAGCGACCCATTTTTTATATGTTCAAAGTGTAATATTCACGCATACCATTTTTATTATAGACTTAAAGACTTCTTCAGGCGTTTGAACTTTGAGAAGAAAAACTAGTAAGTGCGCGAATTGTAAACTGCATTTTCCTGCCATAAATAGCTGAGTTGTATTAATCATTTTTTGCGCAACTTTAATGTCCATTGGTAATTTTGCACAGTGCGTCAGGCGTGCACCAATTTTGACGGCGATAACTTTTGCACTCATAAATTAATCACCAGAACAATCCGCATATGTCTACGTGACGTAACCAATGACATCACGAGAATAGGACAGAATGCGAAATTTAGATTCAGTCTTCGTGCAGATTTCTTGCACTTAACGATTAAAAAATTTTCGCGTTTACTCGATCCCCAATTTTGGAAAATGAACGGTAAGGTTTTTTTGACCATTGCACCATTTTTTTTTTGCAGTTTCGCCCGCGTTAGATTTAAGTTAGTGAAGTGTAGTGAATGTGTGAGTACAGTGCTTTTCTAATCAACAGGTGTGGCCGGTTCAAGCAAAATTAAACGACACCAACGGATACCAATTTACGTAGTCGAATATCATAATGAAGTCCTGCCGTTTATATATCGAAATATGGGCTCCAGGCACTTGCCTATCGCCGGATTGACATTTATACACCTCGACTCACATCCGGACATGTTAATTCCGAAGGAAATGCCTGCTGATACCGTTTTCGACAAAGATAAGCTTTTCGAGAGTGTCAGTATCGAAAATTGGCTAATGCCCGGTGTTTACGCTGGCCATTTTAAAAACTTAATTTGGATTAAACCGCCGTGGGCGGCCCAGATGGAGGATGGTGAACAAGTTTTTCGCGTTGGTAAACACAAACCCAGTGGGACGATTAGGTTAGACTGTAAGGAGTGCTACTTCATATCTGAATGCTTATTTGCGTCCGTCAAAGACTTGGACAATGTTAAAGAAGCCAATCTAGCCGTGGCAACGTTAGGGAAAGGAGTTGTTGGGGAGCACGATGTTTTCTCAAACGTCCGCAAACTCGTAGCAAAATTTGAAACGCCTTTCATTTTGGACATTGACTTGGATTTTTTCAGCACAAGTAATCCGTTTAAGTACCTCTACTCCCTTGCATCCCTATACTCCAAGTTGAAACTTCTGTATGATTTCACTCCCCCTGACTTACAGAATGAGGAGAGCATAGTTAACGCTTGCAATCATAGGGCGAAACGGTTGGCCAAACTGGAACAGCTGTTCAAATATATAAACGAGCATAAAGAAATGCCCACAGAGGAAGATTCCGAATTGTACCGGCAGGTGGCCAACATTAGAAAATCGATTTTGGAATTCTATCATGAGGGTGATATTGACTGGGAGTTGATACACGACGCGGGCTGTACGTGTGATAATACGGAGCTACCCGACCACGTTTCGACTGACGAAGAGCTTGCCATCATGTTTGAAAGTTTTCGAAACTTCTTGGACACGCTCGCGACTCCGCCCACGATTATTACAGTATCGAGGTCTACTGAAGATGATTATACACCCAGCGAAAATGTAGAAGATATTCAAGCTAAGGTATTGGAAATATTAGCTGAAAAATTCGAGTGTGCCGAACCTATTTTGTCGTACATTAATGATAGTGACGAGGAGGTGATTCGCTAGAAAAGAGTGGACCGATCTGAGAAATACATCCCGAGCATAATAAGATCTTGTTTTGTTGTGAATTAACTGTATATTAATTAATAATTATATTAAAACATACAAAACTTTGCTAGCACACAACTTAAATCCGTCTTGCATGTCACGTACGTAGGCCTGTATTCATTTTTCAGTTCGCATTATTTTACCCAATCCATGTTTCCAATATTGTCCATTTATTATCCTTGATTTCCCTTAGTCGCGGCTCGGTGTTTGTCTCTGTTGCCATTCTCCCAGTTGCGTTTATTACGCACGCTAAACAAATACGCGGCGTGACTCATATCGAGAATATTCCAGAATAATTTACACTTCCGGTACCTATCTCAGATAAACCTTTTGCGACTGGACAGCCATCAGTCATGTTAGATCTCATCCTCATTTAGCAATCGGCACCTTAGTATCCATTACGGCCAATTTCGACATAATTGCTCCTCTTGCTGGCACCAAAAACGATACAGTATAAATAGCAATAGGTATCCAGACTCTTTCTTTATTGTTTATCGTTTGCCTAATTTGCGACAATACGCGCGTTTACACGAAAAGTGTATAACTACGCCTCTTTTACATTTACATTCCACGATAGTTCCATATTATAATGTTAAACAAATCTTACATAATCTCATTAATTTTAGAAAAACGTGTTTTACTAAGCCACTTGTGGGTGTACGGGACCTTGCCTAATGAAATCTAAAGCAAAATGTTTACAGTCGAAAACGTGCGTTAAGACGCGAAGTGCTTCCACAAATTTACATTTGGCACGCGATCAAAAATATCAGAAAAGACTTACGCGACAGGCATATACTTCCGGTGAACTCTTCCGGTTCGATTTCTAACCGTAGGGAAATCCACCTTTCGAGAAAATTTCCTAACGATTGATGTTACTTTTACTAATTAAGTAGAATTATGAAAATCATTGATTGAGCGGCTGATTTTACGTAATTGAAAGGTGGAGTCGTAATTTTGCAGTTACTGTTCTATTTTTAGTGCGTGTAGGGAATCGAAAGTTGCCAAAATACAGGATTATGCGTTAGTCATCATCGGGATACACCGTAACTCTTATTGTTCTTTTTAAAGTCGTAATCGTCCCAGCAATTAATTGTCTTAATTTGTCATACGTACCGTTCCACTTCCACGGATGTGCGCATTTGTTACGGCTTTACGAAGATACGCGCCTTAAACGATTTCCGATTACAATTGAACGTGATTAGTTTTTTTTCTTGTAAATATTTACTTGCAAGCGAGTGAATAAGTGCGACGTCGAAAATGACAACCAAAATACGTCAACGCACCCCGTCGCCCAAAACGGTTACTTTTGAGACGATACCTTCGCCCATACCACACAAAATTTATCGAAGGAATAGATTTCGGAATCACGTCGAATGGGAGCAATATCTAAGTAAGTACCCATAACAAACGAATGTATGTTAGCAGAATGGTCAGTTGTAACCTTGACACTAAAAATATAAACGTATTGAAATCGCCAATTGCTAGTACAAAACGTAATCACGTGAATAATCATCCAATTAAATAGGAAAACTATTTATTTGTGTGGTAATAATCGTGTAGGTGTCCTGGACTCATGAGTATTATTAGTATACGTAATTGGGTAATTCATTCCAGCTTGACCAATCAGTGCCTAGTATTTTTGGCATATCGCAATGATGTCTTACACATTTTTGGAACAAATATATTGTTTTTTTGTTTGCGAGAGACCGTATATTTTTGTATATACCGATTTTCATTATACTCATTGTTCCTGGGTGCGCCCGTTTTTACAAATAGGTCAAATGTTTCAGTGGCCGTGAGCATCAATCCTATTGGCCCGTTGCACACGTGTTTGTCAATTCAGAAGTTAGCACAACACTGTCGGAAATTGGGAAATTTCTTAGTATGCACTATACACGGTGTCCATTTTTCGAGTGCCACTATGCGGATTTCACTTATCTTAAGAGATAGAAAGTTGGTTAAATGGGGGCAAAGTTGCCAATTTTTGTGCTGAATAAGAATCTGAAAAGAAATTTGAAATATCTTCAATAGTTTTGAAGATTTCGCAAAAAAACGAAAATGTCTGATTTTCGTTTTTAATTTCTTTGTGATAAACTATTCGTAGTAGACATTTCTAATGAACACATTATTCGGACAGATGGAGATTTCAAATATGGCATCCTGTTTTTAATTACTTTCTAGATGAAGGAGAAACACTTGGTCAACCTTTTCTTTACAACAAAAGAACGTTTTGTTTTTCCAAAGCACTCTTCTCAAAAAATTAAAAATTGTATTTTTAGAAAAAATATGATACTGAACCACCATGTATGACATCGTTGTAAAGAGAAAAAAAAGCGTAATCCCAAAATGTCAAAATTCAATATGGCGCCCATAAGAAAAACTAAAGTTGCCACGTGTTTCTATTTTTTTTTCAAATGGAATTACCGTTATTTTATTTCGTTATTCGATAGCCTTTTATGTTCCCTTCTTGTATAAGGATTTTTAGGTTATCAATATTCCACAAAAAGTAGGTACCTTCCCGTTAATTAATTACATATTTATGCATCGGAGTAGGCCATGATAATAAAAAACGAGATAAAAAACAAAGGGATTCCCGAAAGTATATGTGTTGCAAATTAATCATTTGCTGCAAGTGTGCTCCCTAAGTCGTAGTAAAATAATATTAATAAAAAGGTGAATTTCAAAAACGATTAACTAGTCTTTTTAATTAATCTTATTTTACTACGAACGAAATAGGCAGTAAATAATTAATTTGTGACACTTGTTTACTTTCGGGCATTTTTTTGTTCTTTTTTTTAAATTATTTTTACGGCCTACTCCGGTGTATAAACATGCAATTAATTAATCGGTAGGCACTTTTGTGAAAAATATTGATAACCTAAAAACTACGAGGTTTACACACAGGACGTCCCTTATAAAAATTAAAGAAGACACAAAAGAATACCGAAATAAATTAGTGGTAGTTGCATTTGAAAAAAAATAGTGCAGTGTGAACACCCTGTATCAATAAATCCAACTTTCTCATTATCGAAGTGTTGCCTTTTACTCGGATTAGCATTATTGCTCAATTTATTTTTCTAAGTTCAAAAAGCAAGGTCGCTACCATTCATAAAAATGAAGCTTCCTTATGGGAAATTATTGGGACAAAAAACAATAAGATGGCAAAATTGACAAACAATCAAAAAGTGAATAGGTTTAAATGTAGAGGTTAACAAATGTCATCCAAACAACTATAAAAATACAGGGTGCTCTATTAAAAAAAATCAGTTATTTATTTATACCGTAAAAATGGGACACCCTGTACATCCAAAAATAATTTGTGTAGATGCGCAACCATCTATAGTTGACATTTGCAGAAAAGGATTTTTTATATTGATGTATTTACGAGGTATGAGTTAGGCAAGACCGAGGCACAGTTGCAGGACCCCTGTATATAGACGCAAAATAATCACAATAATTGTGTTTTTCTGAATAGCATCATAGAATTTTAGCCCGTTTGTACACATACCATGCGTGCAAGCGTTCGACGATTAAATAAGAAATTTTAATTACTTACAGTGTTTTTTAATAAAAACCTTCCACTAACATTGACTTGACGATGTAATAACTTCCGTAGCAAAAGAAAAAACCCCGGCTTTACGTTATCTCCAGAATTTAAGTAAACAACACTTCCATAATCTCGTTCCTCATGAATTTTCAAATCAACCTTAAATCACAGCTAGATTAGAATAAACGCCAGCTACTACGGAACGCGCTGAACGTCCTCACTTCTCCACAAGAAATGCGCAATTTTTCGTAACATGTGCGTTAATTAAAATTCACCTGATAATGACACTTCTTATCTCAAACGACCAGATGTTACCTTACTTATATCACCTTATCTAAATTGAACAAATTATAAGAGATATAAAATCAAAAGGAAAAATCTACGCACTTACAAAAATTTCTAAAAAACAACACTGAGATGGAAATTCAAGTGAAATAAACCAATTTTGTGTTTATTCGTAAATAACACACCAGATTTTCACTTAAAAATTGAAATTATACCAAATATAGGGCGAACTGAACAATAGTTATTTGTAAAAGTGGAGTTTTTTTAACTCGAGTTCAATTCAAGCGTAGCCAGTGTGTCAATTGAACGACAATTCAAGTTTTACACATAATTATCACATTTTTTTCACTATCTTTAGAGACGAAAATAGTTGTTTCTAAAGTTCTTTCAGAAAAAATTCTTTTTCTTTGGGCCTACACACCGTAACAACTTTCATCTCTATAAATATAGTTCGCTACTACCTTATAACTATACACTGTGTTCAAGATAAGGATGTCTATCATGGGGATCTCCGAAATACTCTCGAAAATAATAGAAGATACGACGATGGTGAAATTAGAGAAAAGATGCGCAATTAAAGTGTTATTATCATGGTTTAACGAAATCTAGAAATTTCCGATTGCTTCCGAAGACATGCCAGAAAAACCGAAATTTGTCGATTTCGTTTTTCTAATGTTATTTGATCTATAACAAAAAATTAAACTTTTTGTGCTCTACAAGACACCGTTGAGAGATTTTCAATATAACTTTTCGTTTCGGAGGAATCATCATCAATTTTATTTTTTATATGGCCTGTATTGAGTAGCATTTTTATTACTGAATACAAGGATACACACACAAAGAAAAACAAAATTTGCCAACTGTTGATTTTAACAGGATGCTGCAGCCGTGCACAAGGCCGTATACGTGCGAGAATACCTATCGGACAAATTTACCATTTTCCTGGAAATGTATGCGATAGGTATTTTTGCACGATTAGCGGAGTTGCGCGCGGGTACACCACCCTGTTGAAACCGACAGTTTCCAACTGTATACCATTGTATTCGTAACAAAAAATTCTACTCAAATCAGTATGTACTTTTTTCACGGGCCATATAAAAAATACAGTTGATGATTTCTCCGAAACGAAACGTTGTATTGAATGAAAATCTCTCAACAGTGTCTTGTAGAACTCAAAAGTGGCAATGAGAAAGTGTCGTATCTTCTATGTTTCGGAGATCCCCATGATAGACTTCAAAATTTTGTAATGACATGTTTCTACCGCCAGCCATTTTTATCGATTGGTATGAGCTGTCTTAGTTACCTTGGATACAATAAACAAAACAAAATCTCCATGAATCCATAGCCTACTACTTAATTAAAAACAGTAAAGAAAAAATGTCTAAACAAATATAACAAATGAGCTTTTGGGTATGGCTATAGCTTGGCATTGCGTATTATATGTCTAAAATATGCTCATTTTGAATTTCATACAATTCGGTTCATAAGAATCATAACTAACGCAGACGTAAAAAAGACCTTCCTAATTTTTGGGCCTACATTGCCAATTCACGAACTCCGGTCAATGTGGAAATGCGCTTTTTGTAAATCGTTTAAATCGTGTTTTTACGTTTCAACTAACTCGAACAACAAAAGCAAAGTAGCGAACACAGAACAACAAATCGTAAAAATTCTTAAAGAAGGATGCAATCGCAAGTTTGACACATTTAATTTAACAACTAGGTATAAGCATTGACTTTATACACTGTAAAGTTAATGGTATAAGTTGATATAGACGTCAATTGTTTCGTCATCATTTTTGGAGGATACTTGCTATAACTTTAGGTGTTTTCAAGAAATAGTAAACAATCAAAACGTGAAATGTTTTTTTTGTATTTGTCTTTTATGGATATTTTTTTAAAGAGAACTTTGATGGCCTTTAAAAAGATGGACCAGATGGAGAGTCCTTATTACAATTTTAAAGTGATAGGAAGCGGAGGTGGGTGCGGACGTAAAAGGTAAAACTAGGGTAAACCTCCCTCCTGCCTACCTATAACTGGACGTTTTTTGCAATTTTTGTTTTTTATCAAAATTACAATCGGTTCCCAAGTCCTGTGTATTAGATACAATTTCTGGAAGAGTAGTTGGGTATTCGAGGGTAAATGCTTGCCATACTTTCCATCGGTCTTTTTATCTGCTTTACGTTGGATCACCTCCTTAAGCCTTGCCTGCAGTACCTGGATGAGTGGTGTATCTAGTACAGCAACACACACACACAGTATAGCTTTCAGAATTGGGATTGCCTTTGAAGTGGTTTTGAGATTTTAAGAAGTATTGGTGCGAAAATAAGACGATTTATTCAGGCGACCTAAAAATTAGTCTATTAACATAGCGGAAATAGATTATCTCATAAAGATATTCAATGACGCCAGTGTAACGCCATCAATATTTACATACTCGAAATCCATATTCAATCATCAACGTTACCTAATCAATCGGCATGTTTTTACCGTCTCGTTAGAAAGTTGGTAACTTTTATTTTTACACCACCAGGAAAACAATTGACCAATGTTGATGTTAAATTTAGTTTCTTCCTGGTATTTTTACCATTACATACTTCGCGTATGATGCATACAAAATTCTCTGTACGTTACGTAGCGATTTCTCATCCCCGAGGTTTTCCTCTTATCAACACCTTATCGTTATAGTTGGCGCTTCATTGTGTCATTGCTTGCGGTTGGGTACGGAGTTTCTTGCTAATAATAAGCGAATGAATAAGTACTATAAAGGTTTATGACATTTTTAGTTTTGTTCCAGTAGCAAAAGTGTGTTTGTACGTTGTGCAAGTGATATTTCTGGTAAATTGTGGATATATCCAAAAATGACTGCGGTAGAAATTCCGGCAAGCCGTTTCGAAAATGATTTGGAAGATCTAGGTATGTGTCACAAGGATATTTAAATTTTGTTTTTATTATGGTGCTTTCGCGTGGCCGTGAACGTTTACTTTACACATGGCATTGAATAATGTTTACCTGTGTAGTTAATAATCAAAAAGCAAATTCTGTGGGTGCACATATTTTGGAGTAGAACGTGATGTAGGTCTCGTTTCACAGTGTCAATAGATCAACATGGAATAAGCACCTAATTCTCGTTCACTGCAGAAATCACATGCGTCCAAATCAGCAAATTTATTTCCTAGTTGCCAAAGGCAATTTTGTGACGAACTTCGGCAAGGGTGAACCCATCTTACAATCTATCAAAATGTATGGTACCAACTGATGGTTCTTGCATTATGAAAAAGCATTGCGTTGATCAAAAAGATTCGATGCGGTTATTCGCCTAGCTCCTTTTTCTATTTTTGCATTATTAATAATCATTTTTCTGCAATTTCCTGCCTGTCGAAATAACGATTATCATTGTTTAGCATACATGGTTTACTTGAAATTTTTTAAAAGGTTCTTTAATGCATTTTGCAAACGTATAATTGCACTTGGTTTCTTCATTTCCCGAAAAGTCCTAAATCTTTAATTTTTTTCCTCTGCGAATGAATTTTTCTTCCAATTTTCAAAAAATAATTTACGATTCGGCATTTTCATGTTGAAAAACTCCCAGATATCAAATTTTGCCGAAATCAGAATTTTTTCAGGCTCTTTTTTTGGGGTGCACTATCTTGGTGAGGTTATTTTGGGAACATTTACACCAAATTTGAAAAGACATACTTACTCAGAAACCTGGATGAAACCGTCAATCCATCCTCCTCTGTGCTACAGTTTTTGCGAAAAAATTTAATGCGATTTGAATCTTTAGGGGACGTAGCAGCGAAGCGAAACATGTTGGACTGGGCCCTCGGTTTATTTGAAAAAAATGCATAGAATGCACTTATTTTTTATGGTAGCGGCCTCCGGAGTGGATGGTAGTAGAACGCACTATTATCGTTCGAATGCTTGCTTAGGTTTACTGTAAAATTTCCTGTAAAAGTTTTTGTAGCAAGTTGGAATATTGGGAAATGAAATTGGGTTTTCATAAATGATACCACGTCTTAATTAATTTACTCTCACTTACAAATTACATCTTTGGCAGTAGGACGAGGTCAGGTCAAAAAGTTTTTACTCCTAACCTCATTTTTTAAATGGATCACCCTGTATATTTTAGTCGAAAAAGATGGCGTATTAGATTCTCTTTTCAAGAACATAACACAAAAATTGATCCATAAAGATTAAAGAAAGATTTTTAGAAACATTTAAAACATTCAACTATCTTGTAATTTTTGTATATTTTTTTGAATCACTTGAATCTCTTATATTTTCGAAAACTGCAGATTATTCAACAATCATTATAAAGAAACTTAGAAGTTAGTTATTAAAGAAAAAAACTGAAAACCTCTGATTTCGAATAATCTAAATATCAAATCATTATAAAAACTACAACAAAAAGTGTAATATGAAAGTCTCTTATTTCAATGGGCCATTTACAAAAATTATATCAAAAATCTAAATGGCGTGTTTGGATGTATAAATAACTCAAAGCTTCCTTTTAGTAAATGGAATACCGTATCGAATTTTTTCAAGATTAAATTAAACGATCGTTGTATTTTATTGTCGATGATGTTTCAATCTATGATCAAACAAAGCATATCAGTTTCCGTTTTTATCTTAAAGGCGGCGTAATTAACATAATAATCAATTTAGCAATTAATTTTACGGATATTCTCTCGTATATCATAAATTATTCAATGAATTAAAAAGAATAAGAGCTCTCAGTAGAGTTTGTGCACATTTCTATTTCTGAAATATTCAAAGCTCACTGCAGATTTTTAAAATTTCTAAAACATTCTAAACAAAACGTTCAACATTTTCAAAATGTCCTGTTATTTCAAAAACATTTAACAATCCCAAAACATTCAAATATCTTTAACAGTTTAAAAAAAATGAAAAAATAGTTTTCGCTTTAAGGCAAAGTAACTTTAGCGCTCGCTAGCGCATTTACCATAAATTGATCAGTAGTTCCCGAAAGGTCATGTAACGTAAGAAATTTGACATTGCGCAGTTTGCCCATGCGCACATCTAATTTTTTTAGAATATACGATATGGTTGTCTTTACAAGAACCATCTATGGTTAACATTTAAAAAAATATATCTCCATAATAAGAAAGTTGACATTTCGCAGTTTGCCCATGCGCACATCTGATTTTTTTACAGTATACGATATGCTTGTCTTTATAAAAGCATCTGTAGCGAGAGTTAAAATTTCAAAAAAATAAATATAAGAAAGTTGGATTGCGCATGCGCACATCCGATCCTTAAAATTTCAAAAAATCTATAAAAAAGAAGTTGGCATTGCTTGAGAACTATAAGTTTTTAAAAATTTCGAAACAATCCTGTTTTTGTCGGACTTTTTTCCAATCTCGTTCAGAATCTAGGGATAAAAATCGTTTAAAGATTTAAAAAAAGCTAAATAACGTACACAAAAACTGTTGTAAACTCGTTGTGTTTAGAAATTGTGTTTATAGACTTTTGGGGGTCTATTTCCAATCATACCATCTACCGCCTAATTTGTAGGGTAATTTTTCGAAAGAAAAAAAATTCATTCACGCCTTTATGTGATGGTTTTGTCCGTCTGTTCCTGTCTAACTCGAGAACGAAAAGAGACGGCGATGTCAAACCTTCGCCAATCCATTTCTACTAGTTCAGTGGTATTGAATATGAGCCAGTTTTCGTATGCGAGCAGAGTGGCAAAATATTCCTCCACTGAAAATCGTATGTGATTCTTTGTATCTTGTTTCGACATACTTACTACTACACACTGTATCCAAGATAAGGATGTCTATCATGGGGATCTGGGAAACCGTTGAAGATGCGACGATGGTTAAATTAGGGAACATTTTCGTATTTAAGCAGTTATTATCATGCTGTAAAAAAACAGAAAATTCCAACTACTTCCGAAAAACCAACATGTGCAGATCTTGTTTTTTTTTATCTTATTTGCCACTTTTTGGGCTCTACAAAACATCCTTGAGAAATTTTTAATACAACGTTTCGTCAACTTATTTTTTTTATATGACCCGTAAAAAAAATACGTGCTGTATTGAGTACTTAGCACTTTTTATTACGAATACAATGATGTACGGCACACAAATAAATCAAATAGGTATTCTCGCCCATTTAAGGCCATTTGTACCCCAATAGTTCGTCAGTTCGGTTCACCTTGACTGGTCAATTTTAGAATTTTGACTTGAAAATAAAACTGGAACTTGAAACCCAAACCTAGAACTGGAACCCTAAAAGCAATGACGTGTTAAATCCTGTGTAATTTACCTCTGATTAATAGGAGGGTTATTTTGAAACTAATTGTATAGTGTTCTGGAACCAGTAGCCCCACGTAGCTGTTTTTGGTAATGGCAAATTATACAGATTGGATATGTTGTCTGGAACACTGAATATATTTTCCAAACTACAATTTTTCCAAGGAAGTTTTTTTAATGGTATTTATAAAGAATTTGCTACCAATCTATGTACTTTAAATTTGTCGTCAGTGGCAAGGGGGGCATATTTTTTTAAACATATTGTTAAATTATAGTACACTTTTTGGATATAGCAAACAATTAAAAATAGTGGTTGCTGTTAAAAAAGAAATTTACCTCACTTGACTCTGCAGAAGTACGCTACTGATCACAATTTTAAAGTATGTAGATTGAATAGGTACCATAGAAAAATTCTTTAAAAAATTTTTTTTTTAATATCTTCTGCCACCCTCCCTGTATACAGGGTGAGTTCTTTTTCATTTTCACTATAGAGATCTCGTAAATCGTAAGAGATACAAAGTCGCTGAAGTAGGCAAACTTATTCTGAATCATTTTCCGGTTTAGTTATGGCCAAAAAATCGAAAAACGTCATTTTCGAAAATGCGCTGGCGTTCGCTTATTTTCAAAGATATCAAAAAATAGATCATAAACTATACCCTATCTCTAAAACAAAAATACAGCTAATAAGTGAATTAGTTCGTCCGTCTGAGGGTTTCAAATCTCAGCACTGAGGCCCCGCAGAGCACCATTTTGATCAATTAAACACAATTTTCATATCTGTATTTTCAATCATGTTTCTTGTTTTCAGACGCTCTACTGGCAGATCTTCAGAACACCGTATCGCCTAGCGGGGGTGGTATCGGTGGTAGCACTTCCGGGTACGGTTCTCTGAACGGACCTCGAATACCAAGGCAGTCGCCCGTTGCTGAAAATTACACCAATAAGACAGAGACGTACGAAGTGAGATCGGTAAGTCCGTCTGCATTTATATAAGACGTGTGTGTTTGCTATAAGAGCGGAATCACGCTGTCGGTAAGGGATTGTCTAATCGTTAAAAACATAAATTGACTTTTCCGGTGTTATTCAATTGCTCTATTAGTTTCAATCCTGGCAGTTTGCCAAAGAGAGCTAAATTTATCTTAAACTTGCGGGAGTTGGACAGATGGAGCCACTTGATCGAATCCCGTTTGTTCGTTTTGAGTGCTTAGCGTAAGATGGCGTAGGTATGTTGATTAGTAAGAGACTTGGTCCTCTATTGAATACAGTATTTTGTAGGACTCTCATCAGAGAAGAGTTACTAGCTAATTGGTTAATAATCGAACAAACAATCAAGAATTACATCGGTATGCAAAATATCGATTTCCGGCCCTAAAAAGGAAATGCTAGCAAGACAGACGCAAATTGAATTTGTGTGTCATATGCGAAGTGCTGTCGTGAATGCTAACATTTTCTAATGGTTTAGTAATTTGTAATAATTGTTTAATGTACCCATGCGATATAAATAAAACGGTGCTTGTTACGACGCACATACGTAGCTCTTTATTTTCAAGAGTTACATGCTTTTATTTTTGTTTTATAGCGTTAGCGTAATAAATTCTATGCCTGTAGTTTTGTGTGTGAGAATTTGGCTAATAGAAGGCAATGTTGATTAACAAGATCCATGCGTTTACAAATAAGAAGTTATTTTAAATTCATTTGATTTACATAAAAGTGCGTTGCCAATTTGACTAGTACCTACGTGCAGTGGCCATTTGCTGAAAATGTCCTGCCAAGGAATGTGTTACCCTAGGGGTATTTTTTGAGAGATCAAATTTATTGCATTAGAAAACTGTCTTGACGGACCTACTTCTACGATGTCGCATACCAGGGGGCTTTCAAATTTCCGTGTCGCTCCCACCCCTACGTCCCAGATGCTGTTTGGAACGGAAAATAAGGGACCAGTTTGGGTTAAATTTTGAGTACGTTTCCCAATAATAGGACCCAGTAATGTACTACCCTATTTTGAACAGCATTTTAGGATAGAGTTTTTCTATGCTCAGGGCGAGTCAAAACCGACTGCCGTGCTGGGACCGTCTGCAATCGTGGTTAGACAAAACCTTTGGAATAATCTTTAAGATATACCGCGAATGCCATTTGGTTTGCGCAATGCGCCTCCCAACTTTTTACACACTACAAAGTTTGTGCAGGTGCAAACAGAAAAACGTATGTAATTTGGTGCATGCGAGGGTTTTAGGTCGGTGTACACGAAATTCAAAAGTTGCTATGTAGCCGCTGTCAGTTATTCACCGACTTGTAATATCCACCATTGTCGTTTATTCAAAATGAACTACCTCTAGCCCAATATTGAAATGCAGAGCATCTTCCTAACCTACCCGATGCGATTACATGTTTAACTTTCGATATGTCTCTAATCGCATCGTGCACAGTAAGACAAACGGACGGACGGACAGAAACAAATGTTTCAAATTAATTTGTGCGTATGAACTATTTTGTTTAAATAGTGCCGTGCCATTGTGAAACACCCTCTATAATATTTTATACTGATATGGGCAACCCAGGGCATACGCACAGTATAAGTCGGTTTCCCTGTTTTTGGTTGGTATGCCTGGGCATGTCAAAGTTTTGGTACTGTACCTCGTATTTGAACTTTCTGTCCATCCGTCCGTCTGTGTGCATGATAACTCGCGAATGGTCTCGAATTTTCCAATTCTGTTTTCAGTAATAGGTAGACAATGGTCAAGGGCAAATCTGATTAAATTTTGGTCATTTGGACTTGCAGTTCAGAGTTTTCGAACGAATTAGCAGGGTGAGGAAACGGAATTTTAAGTCACTTTGCGAAATCAACGAAGTTCCATAGAATTAAACGCATTTATTACAATCGGCCATGTTTGTCGAAAAGTAAGAGAGATTGCGAAGGGGAAGCAACTAAGATTTCTATAAATAGATAAATTAATTCAATTAAATAATTAAAATTAAAAATGATCAATAATTTTGCAAAAATTCTGAATTTTTGAAAAATTAACATCTAGGAAGTGTACAAAAAAAGCCTGAAATCCTCTTTGTCGTATCGACCATAAAATAGGTTGTTTTTTTTTAAATTGTAATATTTGCATAAGTGTTTTGACAATCAGTTTTACATTTGTTTGTTTTACTATTCTAATCGTTCCGACACGTGGAGGCGTCAATGCTTTTGGCAGATGGCGCATATCCACCATTGATTCTGGAGTATGTCCAAATCTTTCTCAAATATGGAAATGGACGCTATATCACGGTTCATGTCACTGTAACCGTCATATTATACTTAACGTAAGGAGGGGGGTGTGGGGGATCTACAAAATTTTCTATCGGTGATAACCGATCATTTTGTTATTTCTATAATTGTGTAGATTCAAGGTCCGATTCTCTCGTGCTATTTCATCACCCATTTCACTAATTGATATCTTCCCCCATACAGGGTCGCTGATAAGCCTGCAAACGGTCGATTATCGGGGAAAATATACAAAGCTTTATATAATAGTTTTAGAGTCTACTAGGCAGTAGCAATTTTAATTATACAGGGTTGGCCATAACGACGTGGCATATTTTCGATTTTTCAATTATTTTCTTAATTTTAAGCAATATTTTTAAGAAGCATAATGTACCTAAATTCAATCCTTTCCGGGTTATCGAGTTTTGAAAATAAACGCTATTCCAAAATTTATTGAATGAGTGACATCGAATTTGTAATGGAAATTTTCAACGAATGAATGAACTACCGTCGTCATTCCCTATCTCCTACCGGGATCGATTGGTATTCTTCCTATCTCGGGAACGGAAAAAATGGAGCGTCTGGAGGATCAAAACCATAACCTCGAAAATCTCGAGAAGGGAATGTCGGGGAGGTGTTCGTCGAAGGAAAGTGGACCGTCTGGACCAGGGTTATCTATTTGTAGGTGTACCGGTAACGCAAAATTTGTATTTAATTTTTTTGTGAAATTTCGTTGTAGAGTTAGAAATTTTGAGATTTTAATTGTTGGATCAGTTTAGTTCCTGATTTAGTTCCATGTCATGTGAAAATCTGCAGGGTCTAAAAAATTAGAAGGTGAATTTTCCAATAAATTATATTTGGTGGTTTCGAGTTTCGTACTCGAATTGAAGATCGCTCTTTTATTTGATCTGTAGGGCGAGATTTAATCAAAGAATAAATAAATAAAGATGTCCGATTTCGTTAACAATTTGCCATTTTGTGGGTTGATTCGTAGCCTACCGATAGAACTAGCCGTGACACTCATCCCCACTATTGCGTTGACGTCACAACTGACGGCGGCCGTCATATCGACTTTTAATGTAATTAATTCCAAGTAGTGTAATGTTGTACACTTAAATTAACTGTATTCGAACAGAATAAGTAAGAAAATGTCAAATACGTGCTGCGTCCCTGGTTGCAAAAGCAATTATAGTTCAAGAGACAAGGTTCCTTACGGTTTTTCGTGTTCCGAAAAATGAAGACGATCACAAAAAGTGGTTAAGATGTATTCACCGGGACAATTTTGAAATTACTAGTTACTCCAGGGTTTGTATAAAGCATTTCTCCGACATTTTCATTATTCGGGTAGAGACCAGATTAAACTTGCTGAAGACACGTATCCCACCATTTTTGAAAATCAGCCATCATAATATGAAAAGGATGTAAATGATGAGTCACGGGAAAATATAGACCTTTGCAACTACAAATGACCGAAAACCTGTAGTCTCTAGGTGCTCCAGGGGCCGAGATCTCCATGGAACAGACAGACAGACCACGGAATAACGAGCACATAAGCGTTACCTCAACTTCGTTGTGTTACGCTAAAAAAGGCAGATGTGTGTATTAGAATGTATAAATTTTATTTGTTTTCAGCTCGGTTTTCAGTGAGTATTTGTTGTTTATGTACGTATTTAATAAAATTTTTGCATAATAACACGTGTCTATAATTAGGAAACAACATATAACAATCCTGCGGCTCAAAATAAGTAATTACTAAATGTTTTCGCGTTAAATGTGTACGCACGCGAATCAAATTGCATTTAAACACATAGTATCGCGTTGCAGTGGCCCGTGACGTCACTAAATCAATGTCACGGCTAGATCTATCGGTAGGCTACGGTTGATTCCGTCGATTTTAATCAAGTACTTTCATGATATTCCCCAGTCTGTCAGTCCTATTTCATCTTGTCTAGTGTTATGGGGGGAAACGCGCAAGAACTGGGAGCAAAGTAATGAGAAAAATGTTTAAATTTGAATACTTGATGCTTATTAAACAAAACTACAAAGTAAATCGGTAAACCTGACAACCTGAACGAAGGCTGACATCGACTCTTGTTTGTTTTGAACAGATTTCATCAACCATTAGACAGCGCCATCAAATTATTCTCTACGATGAAAGAAACTAGGCCAAAGTTTTCTCAAGAAAAGTACTGCGGAAACATTCGTTACGTTACAGTCAGTTGGCAAGTGTCATCAATTTTGATGGTGACTGGAAAAACTTTTTACTAATTTAAAATTAGTGCCAAATTGTACAAACAACTAAGATCTTTGTTCTTTTGATCCGACTGACCTAGTTAGGCGCAATACTAAAATGCAATTTTTTTTGGATTTGCCCCAATTCAATCTTTTGAGTACAATGAAATTTTGAACCATTCTGGAGTGGAGAACCTTGGCTTCCACGGCCGAAATTTGGATCTGCTTACTCGCCTAGAACATAACAGGTGGAATTTCCTTGGTTGATAAAGTGATAAATTATGTTCCGACAGCTGACTATATTCGTCTTATTTATTATGGCAGTAACGAACCGTATCGGCAGACGAACAATTTCGCGTTCGTTATATTTAGAGTCTTGCCTAAGTGGAGATATTGGTATTTATAATGTAACCTTGAAACGTGATAATAAATTCAATTTTACTATTCAGAAATAAGCAAGACGGTCAGGTAGGATGTTTTAAATGATTATGTATATGTTATAAGCCATTCTCAATTTAATGTTCTAATTTTCGCAATTGGCAAGCGCGCCAAATTGAAGACACCAATTTTGGGGGATTGCGGAAATTTTTTTGTTAGTTAGTACATCTAAACAGTAAGTGTTAGCGAACCCTTTGTTTAAATTTAGCCCAGATGATAAGCCAATTTGCCATAGAAAATTTTTTTCTTATTTTGTTAATGAATCATGCACTCATAAGCGAACTGCTTGTATTAGGGTCGTGTGCAGGCGTCGCGGCGCGGATGCTCCTCTGTTCCCGCCATTTATTCGTTCCATCGCGTATTACGTCTCTATCGGACATTATCTAAAAATATGATTGCGTCTTCGTCCGCGATTTTGAATAGCGTTCGCACCATAAAGGGACCCGGTGACCGCTGTTATTTGAGTAACTTGACTAAATCAATCCTGCAAAAGTTATTTTTAAAATTTCTTAGGTGTAATGCGTATTAATATTTTAATTATCGATAAGCGAAGTGGAATAACGCTAAACAATCTTGGCGACCACTTTCGCATCGTGATTACTGGTTCAACCACTTGTTGGATTTAGTCAACAGGTGGTTGAGTGCTTGCGGCTTACCAAGCTTTGCTTTTGCTTACAGGGTACTTATGGAAAAACTCAGCCTTCGGGTGCACGAAACCCTACTCAACCCCCACATGGAGGTTACGGTTCGGGGTATCTACCACAAAATTCCGGACCCGTGCATGGCTCGGACAAGCGATTTAACAACAACTTGTCAGAGCTTGACACACTCCTTCAAGATTTGAGCAATGCGCGATATGCCAATACCGTTGGTAAGTACAATTTTGCAAAAGGCGAACCCCTGAACCCTCTGTTCCAGAAGTGATGAATGGAACGGTTAATGGAACTTACAACGGTTCGGGCGGACGCAGCCCTGGAACATACTCTCGCCCATCCAGCGCCCAAAGCACCCTCAACCGGCCAACCGTTGATAGCCTTCTTGACGAATTAAACGCGGGGTGAGTTCAAAACGCAATTGTTGCGAGGCGGCGTGCGTATTTTTAATTTCACGGAAATATTCTTTTCCTAATAGAAATTCAAAATTAAACGTACGATCATGGTTAAAAGTTGATTAGTAAATTTAGAACGAGAGATCGAGGATTTATCGCTCTTGGCACTATTGAGACCATTAAAGTCACCCGTACAAGGGTATTACATTTAGTTGATTATTTAATAAGGCCGCTTAATTACAGTTCATAATTTGATTAGTTATTTGGTTAGATCTTGTAGTGTTTTGGCAATCGAAAACGTTCTTGTAGTTCCTAAACTGTATTTATAAAATAACTAACTCTTTCTGTAATATCTAGGCCAGGAAGTTTTCGTTGACTATACTTTTAGTTTTTCACAAAATGGTCTATATGTTAGATTATTGTCTTGAAAAATGTGTTTTGTAGCAGTTTTGGAGGTGTTGTGCGCAGCAATTATGTAAGTACCGTCTTAGTGTCTTCTAATAAAGATCTTTAGGTGATATTTATTGTCTAGAAACCAATGAAAATTGTCTAAATCAAGTCGCATAAATTTTTTATTTCCCTACCACCTCTCATGGTTGTGAATTTTTTTCTTCGTTAATCATTGTTTCGAATTGCACGACTAAAGTGAAAAACTGATGAATGTTTGAAGAGTCGTCAGGGATTTTTAGTTTTCTTCTAACGATATTGTTTCCATTTTAAAATGGCTCCCATATGAAAAACAAAAGTTGGTATCGGTATGAAGTCAAGTATTAATGTTAACTGAAATTCATTTCCAGCATCTGACAGAACAGAAAAAGTTCCCTAAAGAAGTTTCAAAACCAAAAATCAAAAACGTCGATTATGTTATATAATCAAGTAATCAGTTCATCCCTCTGCATAATAGTTGACGCCACTGTATTTTACTAGGGAAAATTAATCTGCATACAGTTTTGCAATTCTTTGTTCATTTAAGCTACTCTGTATCTCTTATGGTTTACAAGATCCCCATACTAAACAGGAAAAAACTCACCCTGTATAATACTCCTCCGCTATGTGTTAAATTTTCAATTGTTCACTTCAATACCTCATGTGTACGTGGTATTGTAGTGTTAGGGGTTCGTCAGACTTGAAACATCAGTAAATTCGAGATGTTCCTAAAATTGCTGAAATTGCCTCAACTATAATCTAGTATCCAAAGGCTTTAAAAAAACGAAAGGCGGTCAATTCGATTTTTCAAGCCTTGTTGACTAAAATTTTGATTGTTTTAACATAGACACGCTAGATTAAAATTTAAATATTTTAAGATTAAAATGTCACTCTTTGAAATGTGAAGTGTCATTGTATTCAGAATGTCATGTTCTATTGAAATATGTAATAAACCCTTAAAGCAGATCTAAAAAAGCGGCAGAGCACCTCGATGTGAGCCTACGGGGTCATTGAATGTGACCCATTTTCAATAGGCTTATTAAATGTGGCATATAGATCAACTGTGCAAAGTTTGAACCGAATAAGTTCAAGCGTTTGGCAGTTATCGTGTTCACGGACAGATGGACACCATCAACTCCCCTATAGACCTTGCATCGCTTTGCTCTCCCACTTAATAAACCACGTAAAGCGGATCTAGAAAACCGGCAGAGTGGTATGACCCCACGAGGTCGTTGGATTTGACTCATTTTCAATAGGCTTGTTACATGTGCCACATACAGTGCTATTCATTAAGAAGTAGGCATAGCAATGTGTATTGTTTTTTCCTATGTCTACTTTTAAAGGACAAAATCTCTTCTGAAGGGCGCCTAATTTTATGCAATGACATTGTTTTAAAAAGTTATGTTAGATGCATAAAATTAGGCGCCCTTCAGAAGAGATTTTGTCTTTTAAAATAGCCATGGGAGAAAACAACACACCTATCCCTATATGTCTACTTCTTAATAAATATCACTGTAGGTCAACTATGCAAAGTTTGAACTAAATCCCTCTAAGCGTTTACCAGTTATCTTGTTAACAGACAAACAGACACTGTAATTCTGGTGAATTCTGAAGTCACAAACTACAACTGAATTCCTTTTAATGCATATTTACCTTTCATACACAAGTTTACTATGAGGTTTGCCATAATTCGTTCATTTCGGTCAAAAGCTGTAGACGCTACAGGCGCTTTTTATAATTACACCCTGTATACAGGGTGGTGATTTGCGTAACGCATCATAGGGATTTCAATGTAAAATTCATAATATGCGATTATTGGCTCCCCAAATTATTTTAGAGCAAAAATGTATTAAGGTTTTTTGTAGAAAAAATTTTTTTTCGTCAATCAACCGTATTAGTTTTCAATTTTGTGCATACTAAAGACGGAAAATTGGAAAAATAAACCCCCATCTTTTTCAATAATCTGCGATGCCATGGAATTTTCTAAAACAAAAAGATATCCAGTTATCAATTAGCAGCTGTTCGAAATGGATTTTACGAGGGAATTTATGATCGACTTGGTTACTGTCCTGCAGTTAATAGTGACTTATTCGAACATTTATTGTAAATTGTTATACCTATATTAGGAAACCGTTTTTAGTAATTTGGTCTTTCTTTATGTTGAATTCCCTGTTCTAAATATAATACTTTTTGATAGAATTTGATTTGTTTTATAGCAGACATTCCATGGCATGACGGATATTGGCGTAGTTTTTTTATTATAAAATTTCATGACATCACAGATTATTGAAAAAGTTGCGGGTTTTCTTTTTCCAATTTTCCGTCTTTATTATGCAAAAAAATGAAAACTAATACGGTTGATTGGCGTAAAAAATTTTTTCCTACAAAAAACCTTAATACATTTTTGCTCTAAAATAATTTGGGTAACCAATAATCGCATGTTATGAATTTTACATTGAAATCCCTATGATGCGTTACGCAAGTCACCACCCTGTATAACTTAACGTAAAGATAATAAAAAAGAGAATACAAAAATGCCATATGTAAACAACAGTTTTTGCATTTTAGCAAAATATTTCTTAGAGCACGTTTTTGTGTACAATTCCATCGCGATGTAAAGTTTTTATACAGGGTGTTTTTTTGTACGGCCCTAAACTACATTTTTCACGGACGCATAGGTTTTTTTGTGTGTTAATGGAAATTAAAAATGTAGTAGTAGATGAACTAATAAAAATTTACAGATAATCAAGAAATTGTCATTTTAAACAGTCTTGCCATCTATTGTTCTCCATGAAAACGTACATGTCTGTTATAAAAATATTTCATATAAATAAAAACAACCATTGTCTATCGCGATGGATTCTACAGATTCTACAATTAGTGGCCTAAGAAAGAAAGATAACTGAATTCGGTTTGCCCAGTGATGTCTATTTAAAATCGGGTCCAGACGTGTATGTCCATTTTTTCTATATCTTAAAATAAATGGGTTTCCATAAGAGAATGTCCAATTTGGAGAATTTTTTTATGATGTGATATGTTATTAGGTATCAATCTCAAACTTTTTGTGCTTGCTATTTCTACAGTAACCACATATCCCTTGCTCTCTGGGGTGTCCCATTTTCGACACTTTTTCTATAGTATCTCTGTAATTGTTAGTGCTATCAAAAAAGTAATACAGGCCTCATGGGTTCTTTTTGGGTCAAACTAAAAATGGTAAAATCAAAATTTGAAAATATTCTCTCGATTACAAGGTACGGGGGTAAATCAAAAAATTGTCAATTGCAGAAAGATCCTATATTGTTAGTTAAAAGAGAAAAGTGTTTATTACAAAAATTTCTTTACAGTGACTGTTGAATAATCGCCTGGTTTTAAAATACCGAAGTATACGGGGTCAACTAAAAAAGTGATTGAATACACCACATACTATATACTTTAATCTCTGAAATTAGCGTATTAAATTCCCTTTTCAAAAATATAACGCATTATAGATGATATTCAAAACAGATTCAAGTGATTCAAAATTTTTCAAAATTATAAAAAAAGAATTTTAAAAATGGTTATTCATAAAATACAATACAAAAAGATTTTTGAATTTTGAAATTGAATTCTAAAGAAACTTTTGTAATAAACATTTCTCTGTATCTCTTTTAACTAAGAAAATATACTTACGGTATTTCTTAAATTATCCATTTTTTATTTTCCCCCGTATCTCAGTCAGTGAATATCTGTAGCTGTGCCTCTCTCTGTCACTGCTTCGATTTCCTTGTTGTATATCATTAGTATGGTAAGCTTTTGGTTTTGGATGTATTTACCTCTAGTACTGCTTTCTTGGATTCTTCGATTCCTCTGGTTTTGTTTCGGAAAGTATCACATCCATCCTAGTACAAATAATAACAGCGACAATATGCGTTCTTGCTTGATTTCTGTTTTGGTTCTGAAAGGTTCCAACATTTGCCATTTGTGGAGCTTTTGTACTCTATGTACTCTTCTTTTATAGAACGAATTATTTTCTGTGGTAGGCTGAGATTATGATGCTGTTTGTATTGATTTGTTACTTCATTTGCAAAATTGGATTTTTCTTAATATTAATTGGATATTTTCTTTCATGCATCTATTGATTTGCAATATGACGCGTTGGTGTGAAGTGTATTGCATAAACTAGAATAACCGTTGTATGGGTGGGGGCCCTCTGGTGGTTTCTTTTTGAATTATAACATCAATTTTTAAAAAATATTGAGAACAAATCGATGGTGTAAAAACCCACGAACTGAAATGATTTGATTTACTCCGAACAAGGGTATGGTGGCATTATCAACCTCAGTGTAGTTGATGACATGAGTAAAGGAATTTGTTATGAGGTCAAGTTCTTACTCAACTGAACTGAAGTGTACAATCAGATCTAAATTGCATAACCGTTTTGTAATGTTGATGAGTTGCGATTTGGCCTTGTGGGATTTTATTTATTTATCACATTTTTTTTAATGCTCTTGTTTCACCAAGTAATAGTCCTTACAAAAAAAAAACATGCCATTGTTCACATTGCGAATATCAAAAATATATTTATTGTATTACAAAAATCCTCTTTTCTCTATAAGCATATACCTGGTTCCTGGAGCTCACCATGTGGTAGGTACTGTAGGGGAGGTTGGCCTTAAAATTGTATTAGGTTTTCATAAACCAAACAATAAAGCGGATCATTTGTCTGTTTCTGTATTGGAAATTTTTTATTTTGCACAAAAGAACAAAAACTATTTAATTAGTATAATAAATTAATAACAATTAAATATTAGACGTTTTGTTTTTAAATTGTAACATGGTAGTATTTCAATTTTGGCACAGTTTTAACGTAATAAATTGAAGGTAATTTTTCTACTTAAAAACTAGAACTAGGCTAAAGAGTTTTTTTAATGATATGACATGTTGTTACTTTATTACCAGTCTCAAACTCTTTGTGCTTGCTATTTCTACTATAACCACATATTTCTTCCTCTTCAAAAATTTAAAAAAAATTTTACTCAACGCAATGATCGTTTGTAATTGAATTATAGTCTATAAGTACTCAATGGAAATTTTCTGTTGGGTTACACTATGCAATAATCTTTTGTCCACCTAAATTGATCTGTTTACATATTTTTTGGCCGATGTACTCAATTAGTACTCTCCTGGCGTATACTAACGATTGACGATTTGTGACATAATGATTGCAAATAACTGTGTATTTGCAGGGAAGTGATCTACACGGGACCGAAAAAGGTAACAATAACAGTCAAGGAGACGAAGACCGAAACTGGCTATCCTGGAGAAGTCGAACTCTTATCTTCACATGTTACAACAACCCACCATGCCCCACCTGCTGCTTCGACGGCCACGCGAGAATTGGACGACCTTATGGCCACTCTCTCCGACTTTAAGGTAATTTTTTTTTTAATTTGAACAGATTAGTTTGTGTGAATCTGCCAAGTGTTCTTAGTCCAATTGGCATTTGATATTGACCGTTTCGAAGCAATATTAAAATTGTTTTGGTGACAATTAATTCTCTTCAGGTTTACGAATATTTAAAGCTCCATCAATACGCTATTGTAATATCAATTTTTAGCAACCTTTAATTATGCAAGGGATTTGTTTTGATTTTTTAAAAATAAATTCATAATGCGTTTAAATTTAGGTCGAGATTTAAAAATAGCTTGCTAAATATAAAACGCGTAAACGCTCAACGAATATTCATACAAACCTGTAAATGTTATAATTCTATAAAAAGTTTTTTAATTCACTTCAAATATTTTCTCATCGGAATAACACCTGGATTGATGAGTGCTAGTAGGTGTTGGCTTTTTTCGAATTTATATTTTTAAAGTCTTGAACAGAGATGAAAATATTCACATTTCGAGTGGATTCTCCGTGGTTTTCCCGAGGGGAGGCGAGATGTTAGGTGGTGGGGAGGGTACCTAGAAGTGGGAATTTCAACTTCTTGGCCGGGAAATGGGACAAAATTGTTCAGTTCATTTTAGCGCGTTTAAGCAACGGTTAGCTAATTTCATTTATTTTTTTAGATTTGCACAAAAGTTGTGCAACTTTAACTTTTTCTGCTTGCAGGTATCCTCAGGTGGTTTACAACACCAAACGGTAACCGACTCTCAATACGCGCGTCCAGCCAAGGCTACTCAGTTGCTGACATCAAGTCCAGCACCACCAAAGCAGAATTTGGATTCTATGCTTGGAAATTTACAAGCAGACATGAGCAGACAAGGAGTAAACACCAGTCAAAAGGGATGCTGCAGTGGTTGTGAAAAGCCCATAGTTGGTCAAGTGATCACAGCTTTGGGAAAAACTTGGCATCCGGAACATTTCACCTGCTCTCATTGCTCCCAGGAACTTGGTACCAGAAACTTCTTCGAGAGAGATGGAAAACCTTACTGTGAACCAGACTACCACAACCTTTTCAGTCCCCGTTGCGCTTATTGTAATGGACCAATCCTGGATGTATGTCGCCGTTATAAATACTGACAGAAAAAAAACCATCTATTTGATTACAGAAATGCGTAACTGCTTTGGAAAAAACTTGGCATATGGAACACTTCTTCTGCGCGCAATGCGGAAAACAATTTGGAGAAGAAGGATTCCATGAGAGGGAAGGCAAACCCTACTGCCGCGACGATTACTTCGATATGTTTGCGCCTAAGTGCGGCGCTTGCAATCGTGCCATTATGGAGAATTACATATCTGCTCTTAATTCTCAGTGGCATCCAGATTGCTTTGTCTGTAGAGTAAGTATTTTTTTACAGGAATGTGCGAGTACATGTAAATGTAAATATTAAAAAAACTAGGATTGCAAGTTAGCGGTGCAGGGAAAATCATTCTACGCTGTGGAGGGTAAACCTGTTTGCCCAAAATGTATTGGCGTTGGCGAAGAGGAAGAAGAGGACTAATGCCCCTATTATGCCCCCCTCCCCCAGATATGCCCACCTCTTAAACATGACCCCATAACACATCAACATGAGCAAATATCTTTACACTTATTTACTATAAGTCTATATTATATAAAGTCTTTATAAGCAAACATATTTGTATTTGTTGTAGTAAAGAATAAAAAAAAAGAAAAATCAAAAACAAAAACAGAAAAACAAAAGGGAATAATGACTACGCAGCGAATACGCGCGAGTCGTTACATGCATTTCCTAATGCGTGATCCCGCCTTTTAGTTGTTTGTGGAATTTGCTACAACAAATCATGTATGCTTGTCGATTCTGTCGTATCACACCCACACAACTGTCTATTAATATGAGACATTGAAACATTGATTTCCAAATATTATTGAGTAATCTTAAGAAAACATTACAAAGATACTCGCTTAAGGTCAAGGTTTTGTGTATGTCTGGCACTATTTATCGAAGGAATGTAATTTTTGGGCAATTTATCATCATTTAAAATGCTGCCGCTGACGCCATCTCTTGCACAGTTTTCAGCTGGTCTGATTAGTTGACCACATTTCTAAAATTCAAAATTCTGACTTTCCATAGGCAAAGCGTAGGCAATTGGGAAAGCGAGCAATGGGTCATCAATCACACACGCTAGAAAGTATGCGGAGAACTGGAAAGTTTTTTAAAGCACTTGCAGGCCATGAAATTAAACATCATACCTACTGGAATTGAAAGTAAATTTCAACCATTTTTTTCGACTTACAGTTTAAAAAGCAGTATGGAATGAAGAGTATAAGTTTGTTATGCTCAACAGTCTAACACTAACATGAAAAACCGAAACATTTTCAACTGCAATATCTGCATCCTTCCATTTGTCATGGTTTATAAGAAAAAATTAAAGAAGGGCAAATTTTTACATTTTGGACCTTTGGTTTATTTGAAAAAAAAATGCTGTTTTTTGGTTCCCTCTACCATTCCATTTTTTCCACCACTTGATTGTTACAATATATCAGAAAAATATTTCCTGAGTTAACGGACAGCAAAAACCAGAAGAAACACCAGCCAAGAAAACAATATCTGGGGGATCATAATGCTGTTTTTGCTTTTCCACACTAAATTATTGAAATTTTCACTTCTTTCCTGTCTGAAATGTCTTAACAATTTTCAATTTTTTTCTAGGACTGCAGACAACCATTTTATGGTGGTTCATTTTTCGATCACGAAGGTCAGCCATACTGCGAAACTCACTACCACTCGAAACGAGGATCCCTCTGCGCCGGCTGCCACAAGCCGATAACGGGTCGATGCATTACGGCCATGTTTCGAAAATTCCACCCTGAGCATTTTGTATGCGCGTTCTGTCTGAAACAGCTTAATAAGGGTACATTTAAGGAGCAAAACGATAAGCCATATTGCCATAATTGTTTCGATAAACTGTTCGGATAAATATTCATTTGTGTCATTATTTTACATTATTAATGCATTTACTTAAAAATTAACAGCGACAATTAAAGTAGTATAATAAGCCATAAACTGTAATTAATTAATTTGGTAAAATGGAATTATATTTCTGAGGTGCGGTGTAAGAATGTTGTGTTTGTAAATACTAAATTACTTATTCGGTATTAAATAATGTTATGTATTTATATAACGAAGACGAGCGGTGATAATTGCACATAGTTGTTTAAATCACATTCTTTTAGAAACTTATATTTTTTGTTGACTTTTTGGATGTTGGATAGTGAGTATTCATTTTTTATTAACATTTAAGTATTGTCATTTGTGTGTCTTTGATTTTTTGTTGAAATCAAACTAACATGTTAATTACAGTGTGATTTATTCTTACAAAATACAGAACTGATAACACCAGGGGAATTTTTAATGGTAACCTTCCTAAAGCCACTCTAGGTGTTTCAGGTAATGTACTAATTTTATGCCCTCGTTCTAATTTTTCATGGTACATATTTGTATGCGTTTCCAACCAATTTCCATTTGTTGCTGAGAGACACTTGTTAAGTTATTTGATGCGGTATTAGTTTTGGATACAGTTCTTAAATTGATATAGGTATATAATCGAAATTTCGACTGCTGACATTTTGATCGTTCTAAAACACAGTATAAAATAAGAGCGGTTAAATTGTGAAGACAAATTGTGGTGAATGCAATTTAAAATCAATTTTAGGTTCGGTTTCTTACGGAAATCATGATCACGCGCATTTGATTGAAGACATCAAAAGTGAAACAGATAAGTTATTGACGATTACATTTCACACAATAAACCTCACAACAGCATACGTCCACCTGAAAACGTTTAGGAATAATAACCATTTAAGTGTGCATGTTTATTTCAATAATTATTAGGAAACCGGTTAGAATAGACATATACCATTGCGGAGTTTTTTATGTAAATGAAATTTTACAAAGGGAATAAAATGAACAGCGTGTGTGAAATGCGGACAGCTAGAGTACCTACCCATTCACAGTTTAGGTACCTATAAGCATTCAGTGTTGCGGAAATGACTATTATTCAAAATTATTTTATGGGGAATTTAGTCCTCTCTCTAGAATTATGTTATATGAATGTCTTCGCACATTTTTTTTTGCTTTTCCGCAATCAAATGCGAGAGATAGTGATTTTCGTAAAAAACCGCCATAATATTCCACTAGTGGGAGTGGGATACACCAAATCCACACTTTCTGTCTCATGAACATTATATTTGCCCATACTGTATTCACTTTGTGCTTATATATTCACAATAGGGGACATCTCTTTTTCTGCTACATGTATTACGTATGACCCCACACCTATCGGTGTGGCCAAGAGACTTAAGGTGGGTTCATATAGCTCTTCGTTCATCCGTTTGTCCATTAGCCAATCAGAAGACAGTAAATTTTTTAATCGTACGTCGACCGTTTACGATCGAAAAGTTGGTTGAAGTCGAACATTTATATTTTATACAGTTCCGTTTTTAACAAGAGTGAGGTAATGAGGTTATGTTTGTTACGTTTAACAGTGTCGCCGACTCCATCGAGATCCGGATCACGGACTTCTTTTTTTTAATGAGTACTTAGGTATATAAGCTGCATTCTTTCCTGCCTTGAAGATCTCCATAAGTATTTATTAGTTTAGATATGTACATAGGTATATGGAGACTCTGTCTAGATCCCGGACTTCTTTTTTTTTAAGAGTACTTAGGTATACATTTAGCACCTAGGTATGTTACAAGACTGTTCCACGAGATATAAAAAAGGCTCATTTCTTTCCTTACTCATAATTATGTATTTGATTATTGAGGATGTATTCAAAATACCTGTTGTTACGCCTATGATGATCTTATTGTTATGCGGACGCCCATGCTTGTAAAACATAACCTCAGAAATGATTTATCATCAAACACTAATAACCTCTAAAAACACAGTCTAGATACAAACAAAGACTGTGCCAATAAATAATAAAGCTCTTCTATTACATTAAATAAAATATACTCTTTGTATCAATATGAGTAACCAAACGCCTTATGATCAAAAAATATTAGCGAGGTTGAATTATTTACGAGATCTAATCTCGAAGATCGAATTAGCCTTAGACTGCAATGATGGTGAATGGTTACATTTACGAAGCTTAGCAATTGGAACACAAGCTTCAGAACTTGTCCAAACACAACCTGAGCAGCCGACCTTCAAAGGTGCAAAGGATATTAATGCTGTTACTTTGGAACTGGACCTTACAAAAGTGGAGAGTGATGACAGTTTTGATAGTGATACATAAATATACACATTTATCAATAAATTAAAGAAATTATCCTTTAATTACAGCAATTGGTCTTAATTTTATACACTTATTACTAATTCCAGCAGCGTGGCAGGTATTTACAACATCAGTTACATTTTTGTATGATTCAGGTGCTTCTTCCATGACCAGTTTGGGAGATGCCACTCGTATTGATATACCCATGTCATCAAGTTTTCTTAAAACCTCAGTGTAATCCAAATTTCGCCTTGATTTGGCTCGCGATAACGCACGCCCCTTTAAAAAGAACAGCATTATTCAATTACAAAAGAAGTTTACTTACAGCGCCGTGACAAGTTGAACCAAAAGTCTGCTCCATTCCGGATTCTGTTCCTGTCAGAACATAACTGCATGTTCCCATTGTTCCACCAATTAACACGGGTTGTCCTGTTAGTTGATAGTCGACTGGAATCAGTGGGTGACCAGGGGGAAATGCCCGTGTGGAGCCCTTAATGAAAATGACTGTAGATGTTGAATTTTTAATATTTTGTATACCTTTCTGTGAACCAGCAGGGTTTTTGGTTTGCCATCGACAAGGTGCTCTTCTACTTTGGCTATATTATGAGATACATCGTAAATTACGTGCATATCAAGATCGTCTGGGGACATTTGGAACTGTTTGGCAAAGGCTTGGCGACTCAGGAAGGTCATAGAGCTACGATTTACCCATGCGAAATTGGCAGCTGCTGCCATTGATTTTAAGTAGTTTTGGCCTTCTTCAGAGTGAATATGGGCACAAGCCAACTGCCGGTCGTTTGTTTCAATGTTATCACGTTTCATAGCCTTTTCCATCTGAACAAGGGCATCAGTTGCAACTTGGTGACCGAAACCTCGACTTCCAGAATGAATCATTACACATACTTGCCCCTTTTCTTCAATGCCCATTTTGCCTGCAGCCCACTTGTCATAAATTTCGTCGACCACTTGAATTTCGGCATAGTGGTTGCCTGCGCCCAGTGTGCCTAACTAGAAGTATCATTTTTAAGAAGAAATAAAGGCAATTTCTAACTGACCTGAGGTAAACCACGTTTCTTAGCTCTCATACTCACAGTCGCCGGATCTGCGTTTAACATTCTACCATACTCCTCGCAATGTTCTTTGTCCTCAGCCCACACATACCCTTCACGCAGAGACCAGTCCATACCCATCTCAAGCGCTTCCTCCAAGTCACGCGCATTCATTGGGATTATACCTTTTGATCCCACCCCAACGGGGATATGATCAAATAAACTTTGTGCCAGTTGTTCTTTTACAGGCAGTACATCTTTCTCCCACAAATTGGTTCTCAACAATCGAACTCCACAGTTAATATCGAAGCCAACTCCACCTGCAATATTACACAATGTTACACCATCACATTTAAAACTCAAACTAACCTGGTGATACTATCGACTGTGGATCATTCATGTCGAAAGCTGCCATATTACCAATGGCAAAACCATATCCGGAATGCACATCTGGCAAGCCAATAGATCTACCAACAATTCCTGGTAGTGCGGCGACATTGGCAATTTGTTTGACTCCTGGTAAAAAGCCACCCGCCATCCCTGGCCTACATGCATTACGAAGTTCATCCAACATAAGCTTTTCCAATGCGGCATTAACATAGAAACACCCTTCCACCTTCATATTGGGCTGGAAGCCGATTTTAATCCTCCAGCAGTAATCGTTGATCTTTTCCAAATATTTAAGTTCGTCATTATAACTACGCACAACCATTGTGTTAACTTTGAATTAATTTTACACAGCACAAAGTTGAATATTTTTCTTTAACTTTCCTTTCAAAAAAAACAACTATAACAACCGGGAATGAATGAGGTTAGAATATAATGACAGATTTTATATATATTTTTTGCTCCAAGGAGCAGATCAAAGTCCACTGGAATGTGGCCTACAATGTACACGGTGCTTCAATGATCCTGATCTAGGTGTATGAAGCAAATGTATGTTCAGTTGTCTGGGTATCATGTCACAAATTACCGTACTTACTTTTGCAGTAAATTTAATTGTGAAATAATTATATAATCTAGCGATTTCAAAAATTATGCAAATGTCGGGAAGATAGACAACACATCGTGCGTACGAGCAACATTTTTTGTACAGTCCTATATGCGTCAGGTGTTTTGAACTGTCTTATTCTATATGAACCGTGATGTGGTTTGTCCTTTTGTGAAACTCAGGATTATGGGCAAGTCGAATGGCAGTTCATTATCATTATCAACTTTCAACGTCGGCACGTCCTTCAGTTCTGAAATATCGCTGAATATTCTTTGAGGCCACCTGAGTTCTCTTGCTGCGATACTCTCCACTTCAGTATAGTTGAGATGACAACTGAACTTTGTCGTTGACTTAGCCATGAGCATGACACAGCACCTCCAGCATACAGGCATACCACGCCAGTAGTCCAGCATCTTGTGTTTAGATCTCCACTGTACCCTTCGATAACTCCATTGTTGTCACTATGACCATAGTGTAAAGACTATTCCTTACACTGTGCTATAACGTATTTAATATCTAGAGCTAAAGTACCTTTTAGATAACCTGAATATCGTTTTCACATTCTGCATCGTGCTCCAATTTTCCTTTTCCTTTTCACTTACTATCAACGTAATATTCTGAACCTGATTCGATGATGAGTTCGCTCCAGAACTACTTGGTTTAGGCGGCTTCCCATCATTAATCCATAATTTATAAATGTCACAGGTGCGGCCGGTAAAGTGACGGTGCGGAAGGTAAAGTGACAGGTACGGCCAATAATAGTTATTTACATATACTTATGTCAGGAAAATGATAGTGATACATTACTATGGCGAGAAAAGATTGAAGTGCGAGGGGCCGAGTACTTTAGTTCCCGAGTCAAGTAATGTCATTTTACTGACGGTTTTTGTATTAAATTTTACCCGAAATCGTATTTTAATATAAAATTTCAATTTTCATATAGAACTTTTAATTAATGTCAATCTGTTAGTAATGACATGAATCATTATAGACATTTAGCAATGTCAAAAATGCGGCCGATAAAGGAAACGTAGTCTGCTCATCCTCTGTCATGGAAACTAAAATTTCCTGACAGAAAGTAGGCAGGAAAATGAAGGTTTCATGGCGATTTTGGGTAAAAGAGAACATATGACGTCATTACTAGCGACCGCAACGAGCCCACGGCGCTCGCCTATCGTACCTGGGTCAGCGTGGGCGTTCTAATTTTATAACCTTACATTCTTGACAGGAGACATTTCTAGAGACATTTAACTGTCAGACACTAATTGTTTGAACACGCATGCGTTACAAATTTTTCGTTTTCGCTATGGAGAAAATATAATTACGTGTTTCAGTACGTAACCTTGTGGTGGACATCACTATGGATGTTCTACATGCACAAACGGGTAAGTATATGCTGATTCGTGAATGTTAAAGTTATTTGTTAAGGAAAATTCTGCTCTAACACAATTTTCTTTATTGCAGATCTTAGATTTGCAACTAGTTTGCTGCAAAGTGCTTTACCAGGGAATGCGAATGAGACTCGTATAAATTGTAATGCAACGATTAATGAAAATGCATGTTTGTTTTGAATGAAGAAGAGAAATTGTTTTCAAAGCTGCATTCCCAGAAGAAATTCTGGGGAGAAGTGTTCATTATCATCGTATTAAGTATGGCCGCAACATTAATGATAGAAATTCAAAAGTCGTCTTCAATATTTTATTAACAAGAAGCCATATCTTGTGTAAAGCGAAGAAGTATGTGTCAATAATTGGTACTGAAAAATAAAAAAAATTTTACTAACTTAATGTGACTTTTGAATTCATAATCCACCCCACTTTCTATCCTTTACGCATTACGATCTCCTCAACGGCGTCCATGTTGGAAAACTGTTCACTCACGCGTGACGTCACACCGTACCCAAAAGCGTTCCACTTAAGGGTTCGCCCACAACGCCTCTAAGCTAGTGGAACGACAAAACCGCGGTCGCGGTCGTGATCGTTGTGGGCGTTAAGTGGAACGTACCTCTGTCATGGAAACTAAAATTTCCTGACAGAAAGTAGGCAGGAAAATGAAGGTTTCATGGCGATTTTGGGTAAAAGAGAACAGATGATTATTCAAGTATTGCCTTTAATGATCTTATTGATTTGTTAATGTAACAATAAATAATACTTCAATGTACACTGCCTAAAACTACAGGAATGCTTAATTGGATCTAACACAACGCATAATCGTAATACAAGACTAAAATCACATTTGATCACCACATGAGGACCAAGTAAGTAGGTAAACTGACAACTGGTATCAATCTCCATCTCACTTGGTTTCGGAATTACTACTACTTGGCACACAATCATCGATTTCATTACTTATACTACTCGGATTTGGTGAATCGTCCTTAGGAATTACCTTTTCACTTTCAGTCCAATCGCTTGCGGGAACAGTGGTTGAGACATCTACCGGTTTGCTTTTACTTAACATAAGTCGTGTGTGTAAAGTTCGTGTGGTAATTGGACTGCGTGTTAGTGGAGTATTTGACGCTGACGAGTAGTTCATAGCATCAAAATGTATTCCATTACCGATTGGTCTTTCGGAATTCTTCAGTACTAGCATCGGTTGCACCTCGTGCCCACGGATCTCATCGGGATGGTCGCAGAAGTGTTCTCCGCATTTTTCGCACTCATACAAATTTGACTGCATGGACTGCCTCAGTTTCTGTAGATGAGGCGTAAGGCGATGTTACAACAAAATAAACTACTTACGTCTAAGAAGGTCGTCCCCCGTTGTTTGGCGAATATGTATATTGCGTACAATGGAATGCAAAGAATTGACAATGAGGAAATAAGCCAGCCTAATACAACGGCCCATACAGGATAGTGATACTGTCCTTTGTTGTAAGTTGGTGCCTCGTAATCTATTAGGCAGAAGATCCACACCGCAAATATGAGCAAGGGTGCCGCTATTACCCAACAAAATTTGAAGTAGAGACTCGGAGCTCGACCCGTCATACTTTCTACATTTTTTGAAATTCGTCGCACTCCGTACACCCACGCCACAGCTATTATTTCGAAGAATGCCAGGTACATTATTGATATGGAGGCGGCATAGTGGTCAATGAGTTGAAAGAAGTAAATACCACCCTGGAACGTTTGCTATTGCATATTGTAATGAATGTGTTACAACTTACGTTTGTAACGTTTGGTAATCCGCAGAGAAATGACACGACGCATACTACCAGCACTAACATTTCATGACAAAGAAGCCGCTTTTTGATCATTGCAGGAAAGCCATCTTGGATGGAGGTGACTACTACTTCGACTATAGCAAATTGGCTGTTCAGTCCTAGACATAGGAGCATAAAGAAGAAAAGTGCAGTCCAAATACGCGCTGCGGGCATTTTGGCCATCATCTGAGGGTAGACATAGAATATGAGTCCAGGTCCTACAAGAAAATGTGAATGGGAAGATCATGAATTGCAGTGCTTACCATCGGCTATAACGTTCTCAACTGAAGTGTTTTGTTCGGTTGCGATATTCCCAATGGTGGCAAATGCAAAGATCCCGACCAACAAACTTGTAACGGCGTTAACGAATGATACGGCAAGCGTGTCGTGCAAAATGTTGTTGCTGAAGCGGTTGTAACTTGCAAATGAAATCATGGAGCCGAACGCGATTCCCATCGAGTTAAACGTTTGAGCAGCTGCGTTGACCCACACTTGAGCTTGACCTAACAACTCCCACTTGGGTCGAAAGAAATACTGCATTCCCTTGTTAGCCCCCTCTAATGTAAGCGATTTAACCAGAAACGCAATTATGAGTATAAATGGCAATGTGGCAGTGAAGTATCGAACTTTTGCTGATGATTTTATGCTCTTCCAGATTGCAAAATATACGAGGAACCACGCACAGAGCAGACATGCCACCAGTTCCCAGCGAAGCGAGTCCACATACTCGATTCCTTTGCTTATTTGTAACACCTTCCGGCTGGAATGAACAATTTGAACGCGCCCTAGTGTTGCAGCGCACTTACTCAAAAAACAGCTCGGCAGGTGTACGACTGTTAGGCGATTTCGTTATGTTCTGATTGAGTTTCGCGGGAATCCAGCAATCTTGAAGGTTCCACAAACTTGAGCATTCTTCCCAGGGCAGGGTTGGTTTAAACGCGGTGAAAAAATAGTATATTGAGTAGGCGATAATGACACTGTAGTAGGTCGACATTAAAAACGAGATTACAACACTTGCCAAACCAGCTCCTGAAACAAAAATGTGTAACTCGTTTCAAATGACGGATGCACTCACCTTTGAATAAAGGACAAAGCTGTCCGAGTGCTCCTATAGGACCCCGACCTGTAAATTGACCAACAGCTAATTCCAAATATAGTAGTGGTACTCCACATATTACCATTATAATTACGTAGGGAATTAAGAATACACCTGCAACAATTAATTCACATCAGAATGTTTACAATAATTATTGAACTGTAAATGAAAAGCAAAGATGATGTTTGTTCAAGGAAATTAGCAATTCGTTCCTATCTGCGTCAAAAAATGTAGGAATTTGTGCTCGTGTCAATATTTGAGCAAGAATTGGCATAATTAGCGGCTCACGCCCTGCTTGTAAATATCGCAATGGTAATAAAGGAAAAAGTGTGCTGAACACCTGAACAAATTTTGCAATTTTTGCATTGATGTAATTGAAGTAGTTTCTTTCTAGATATGTGTGGTAAAGAAATTCGATTTCTAAATAAAGAGGCGTCACTGTTGGACTAGAATTAGACTAAAGAACAAAAATTGGAGAGGGGGTGGGAAATTTGTGTATACAAATTGGAACTTCACCTGGTGATGCGCGTTCTGCTTTTCTGAAACATTGTTCTCAGAAGAAACCTTCAAAAATATTCGGTATCTATTTTTTGGATCCCATATTTGCATTTTACTTTTAGTATATAC